GTTGATTTTTCATGTATAAACAGGCCTATCTGAGATGTAGCTGTGGGTTCCTCTCCAATGCCTGCACACTACCCTTTCTTTCAGAGTATATACTTTTTTCCTTCTCTTAACAAATTTGGTCTGAGCCTCACTTTGATCCATCCTCTGGTTCTTTTTTTGTTACAAGATTAAGGACCCTAACGGCCCAAACTGAGGTCTATTTTCCTTTGTGGAGTCCTTCTCAGGACCCTTATCCTATAGACAATCACACTAACTTCTTTTAAAATTACTTTTTAAAAAAATCATTTGTTCTAAATTTTATGTCCGTGTGATGGTTTACGTATGAGATGTTCCCTAGAAGTTTCTGTGTTAATGCAGGAATGTGCAGAGGTAAAACCATTACATTATGAGATCAGTAACCTAACCAGTAGGTTGTGAAACTATTCGATTATGAAAACTGTACCCTAATTGATGGATTAATTCATTTGATGGATGAATAATCTGAATGGATTATCTGGGTGGTAACTGCAGGTAGTGAGGCATGGCGGGAAGGAGATCAGTGGGGGCATGCCTTGGGGATTACATCTTGCCCCCTGGCTCCTCTTTCTCTGCTTCCTGGCTGCCACGAGCAGCACAGCTTTTGCCTGCCTTGCCCTTCTGTCATGTCCACCTCACCTGGAACCCAGAGCGATGGAGTCAGCTGTCCATGGACTGAACCTCTGAAACTGTGAGCTAAAATAAACTTTTTCTCCTCTTCGTTGCTCTTGTCAGGTATTTATGTCACTGTGATGAAAAGCTGACTAATACGGTTGGAGACAGTGAAGGGAAAGAATCATATAAAGTCATCCAAAAAGGCCTCAGGCAAGCAATCCTTCATTTTAATTCAAAATTCTACTTACTGTTTTCAGGGATTACACTTGAAAAATGACTCTCCTTATTAATTCTATTTACATTAAAGTATATGAGCTTATATTCAAAACCCACAAATCTAAAGTACAATCTTAACACTGTGATCGCACCCAGGTGTTTTCATTACTTTTTTCCGGAAGCACTGGAGGGAGGAGGTAATTTCTCAGTCACCCTGAGCAGCACCTTGCTGCCCAGATGCAAACTAGGGCAAAGAAGCCTGCCTCCAGGGTGGCCTTACATGACAGTCCCTGTGGCTTCTTTAAGCTTTTCTACTTGCAAATCAAACATAAATTCATTCTTTGTGGCTCATTAGCAAAACATCAAACAGTGGGTGTTTCCATTTGGCTTTTTATGGATCTTACAAAGTCAGTCTGAACTGTTCACAAAGCAATGCCATTTTCTAAAGACTTCTGGTGTCAGATTGCTATAAAGAATAAGACAGCCCGAGATCAATATGATACCCTGTCCCTTAGTGGATTCCCAAAAGCCTCCTTTATTGGGGTAACACCATAGGGTAAGGAGTCCTGCAGAAACTTCTGTGCCACCTCAGCGCTCCTGAGTATCCGTGACAGGTAGTTGTTGTCCTACTCTCATTCCTGATGGCACAAATACAACCACACCACATAGGGCCACCAGGGTGCAAACCCCGCATCTACCATGTTACTTGCTTGTCATTTTGGATGAAATATGGAGCCTCCCTGAGTCTGTTTTCTTTCCTGACCCTGGCAACAAGGGGGGAAAATCAATCACATAACAAATATTGATGAAATACTTTGTAGTCTAGGCAGTCAGTGTTTAAGAAAACACAGTGCCCTCCCTCCAAAGAGCTTTCAACTAAGAAGTCAGACAGCATACTAGAGAGGGGTATGTGTGGGTCAGGAAATGGGTATGTTAGGGAGGGGGCCAGGAATACCTCAGAGAGAAGGTGATTTGTGAGTCAAGACCAGAAGGAGCTGAGGAATTCAGTCTTGCAGACATCTGGGGCAATCGCCTTCCATGGTGAAGGAACAGCAAATGCAAAGTCCCTGAAGCAGGAACAGTCCTAGTATGTGAGAGGAACAGCATGACTAGGGCAGAAAGGAGAGAAGTAAACGGAGATGAGATCAGAGAAGCCATAAAGAACACAAGATCATCTAGGCAAGAAGTTGACAAACTATGGCTCATGTGTCACATGTGTTATGCCATCTGTTTTTGTAAACAGTTTTTTTTTTTTTTTTTTAGGTGTGGTGCAGATATTCTATAATGTTAATACAAACCCAAATCTTTTTATCTTTATAAGCCACCAACCTCAGGACATGGACGACGTGTTGTTTCATGATCTCAAAATGGTTGCCAATGTTCCAAACATTACACATTGTATTTATATTTGAGACAGAAAAGCAGGGCAGGTGACATCTGTTCTTCTACCAGGAAAGCAAAAGATGTCTTCATCTACTGCCCCTGGCCAGCACGGGCAGCTAAACTAAAGGTCACTTGAGTGAATTTCCTAAGGTATCAGATAAAACACAGACACACAGTTTACCTTTAATTCAAGCCCTGGGTCAGCTCCTCTGCCCTCAGCCTCAAGCTCCCCAAACGGAGAGTGAGAAAGAGAGAGAGCTAGCACGTTCGGGAGTGGTCTTCTATTGGGGGGACTCTGATTCTTAAAAATTTCCATCCAAAAAAGGTCAAGAGGGGCAGGGTTACAAGGACAGGTAAGGTAACTCAATCCCTGGGGATGTAGGAAGACATGCCCACACACATGAAGACACATTTGGCAACATTTTTAGGACTCTCAAGATCGGGGCCACCATCTACAGCCACTTTGATGCGGCCAGACCACTGGAAGTGACCAACAGAGCCTCAACTAATCAGGAGAGGAAAATGCTGGTCACATGACTTGGGGCCCTCCCACATTCATCCTCCATCAAATCCTCTCTCTCCCACATAATTTCCCCCCCTCTCTTAGCCCAGAAGTAGATGTTATGGCACTGCTAGCTTCAAAGGAAGCTGACTGAGATGGATTTTTTCATTCTTTTGACTGTGATACACAATGAGAAACACATTTTATGTCACAGCCTAATACACACAATTGAAACACAAATGACACAAGCCAAGTTTTATGAAACACAACTTACAATGCGTGCTGTATACTGATATTTTCTCATCTATTCTTTTAAGTATGAGTCTCAACATCCACTTGATTAATCTCATGACCCATTATCAGGTTATATGTATAGTATAAAAAATGCAAGCAATCTTGATCCATTGCTAGGGCCTGGCATGTTGCTGCTCCAAACAAAGTGATTTCTCTCCTTTCTTTCTCTTTTTTTTCCTTCCCTTTTATTTTCCTTCTTTCCTTCCTTTTTTTTCATTTTTTCTTTTCCAAAGGAGAAGGGAATGATTAAGAGTACTCACAGTATCTATAGCATTCATCATAAGTGAGGGGAGTGGCAGAGAAGGTTCTATGGAATACTGAAAAGCAAGGTGACCCCTCCTTCTGAAAGAATAGAGGATCCTGCTATGGATCATGTGAAATGCAAGTAGAAACACCCACTGCCTGGCAGACTCACAGAATTGCAAGATCCCTGATATGAAGCACTAACACAGTGTCTGACATACAATGGGTGCACAGGACACATGGGTTTGCTTCCCAAGCTAAATCACCACTCCAGGCTAGAAGAGCATTAACTGTGACAATGAATCATGCTCAAGTGCTGGGAAACCAAATATCTCCTGGATGTTCTCTTTACTTTTCCTATTGGAAATTAATTAATTTTGGGGATCTAATGCTCAGAAGTTGAGAGGTTGAATTTTATGTGTTGGTTTTAAAAACCTTTAAGAAGCATCCAATTATTGTTCTCAGCTTTAATGTGTCTGACTTCTGGGTTGTAGAAGGACAAATGTCAGCAACCACAGGGAACCCTGGACCCGGTAGAGGATGGGTCATTCTTCAAGAATACAAGCAAAGTAGAGATGGGGGAACTCCTCAATTGATCATCTTTAGTGCCTTCACATTTTTTATGTAAGAAAACAGGCCCAGAAGCATTGCAACATGGGCAGGATCATGGAGGGAGGCAGTAGATGGCATAATCTCTTTGCTCCCAATCCAGCAGTCCTAACAACCATTAACACAGCCCCACTGAACTGAGGTCCTGGGACCCATTGACTCAAATCCCAAGTTGAATGTGACACATATACACCTGCATTTTTTAGAAGATCTCTATCAGATTTTAAAATGGTCCTGTGAACCTGGAAAAATTAGGAAACACAGACTGAGCAAAACTAAAATGACTTATGTTGAGGCTGAGGCCAAAAAGTTCGGAGGTCAGGACTTGGAATGATGAGATAAAACAGAAACTGCTAACCATAAGATACGCTCCCAATCCTGCCAACCCTCACCACAGAAACAGTGAATTCTTTCACTTTCCCTGAATGGCCTGTGGTTTTTCTGTCCTTTCTGCTTCAATGCCTGTAAAGATTAACTTTTTCCTTTCCTTTCTTTTTTTCATAGAATGACAGTTATTACATGATACAAAAGTTATTGAACAGGCCATGCCAAGCAAATCGCCAGACTGCATACAGGTGCCCCTTGCACAATAAATAACAAAGGCTCGAGTGTTTATTGATAAGTCCCCCCTCCACTCCCCGCCCCACACCATCCCAAGAAGCAAAAGTAATAGCGGCGCCTGCGCAGCGGCCTTTGTTGTAAACCAAAGGGTCCACATCATCCAAGGGTCCACATTATGCAAGGGTCCCCTAGACGCTGTCAGCAGACCCGGTTCTTTGGGGCCAGGTCGAGCTGCTTTTCTTCGCGCATCCTGGAACGCCCTCGGGGACCACAGATTCGGGTCTCGCGGCGCGCCAACCGGTAGTCCGAGGACACCCGGCAATCAGTACGCAGACGTCCCAAACCTTCCCCATCCACCCTCCGGCACCGCCAGGCGCCAGGTCTCCGCGGGTGCCCAGGGCGGAGCGGGGCGGTGCACAAGAACGGTCCCATCGGCCAGTGAGAGGTAAGGGGCTAGTCCAGGACGGGAGGGGAGGGAAGGATGGGGAGGTGCCATTGGCTGGATAGGGGTAAGGGCGGGGCGAGGGGCGGGCCGGGTCCCAGTGCAGCAGAGCCGGTGGACCGCAGGCGCTGCGGGCTCAGCTCCCATGCGGGCGCAGCTCTGGTTGGAGGCTGGGACACGGCTCTGGCAGTGGCTTCTGGATGGAGCGATGACTGGACGGTGAGTGATGCCCGGGCAGGAGTGTTAGTGGGCGTCCATGGAGCACCACACCCCCGAGCCCCGGGCTGTCACCCGGCAGATGCGCTGGAGCCTGGGCACTTGTGCCCTTTGACCGCTGCGCGCGGAGTCTCCTCCCACTGCCAGCCTGGCGCATTGCGGGCTTCGGGCCCAAAGCTTTCAATGGGCACTGTGCCTGGCACCTCCTTCAAGAGGAAGTCACTTTAGGAGCTAAGATATTAGCATGATAGGTGAGTGCGGTCTCAGGCTTCACCTGTGCCCACCTCAACCCTCACCTCAGTCAGTCTCCTAGAAGAATAGATCCTAGAGTTTGGAAGAGAGCTTCAGAGCACTTTTGCACAACTCTCTGATTTCACAGATGGAAAACCGAGACCAAAATATAGGCAGAAAGAGGGGCTTGTCTCACAATCGCTATTTGTGGAGGGTTCGCCTTCTACTAGACTCTGTGCTAAGGGTTTCAACACAATATACCGCACACTCTGCGGCATTGTGATATTGACACTTTCATTATCCCCATTTTCAGATGAAAAACTGAGGCTTAAAGAATTACAGAAGTGTCTACCCTTACTCAGAAGAGCCAGTGGTAGAGCAGGAATTTAAACTCAGGGCTGGCTGTGCCTTCAGGCCTCCTTCACCCCACCCCCTGGCTTTGAAGCTTATACAACCTGCTTCCCTGCTCTTCCTGTGTCTGAACCTACATTGCTGAAGGATGCCTTAATGTTATCATGAGTCTGGCATAACCCTGACAAGGGAGGCCTCCTCTCATACCAGGCCAGTGCCAGGCCAGCCAGCACTTTATTAAAACTCAGTAAGCAGAGATTTAGAAACCCTATTTCACATGGGAATTAAATGAGGTCATGCAGCAAATGAGGCCTGGGATTCTGGAATTCAAACCCAAACAGGTTAGACTCCAAAGTTTGCCACCACAGTGGCAGAAGGGACCCTCACTGTCTTCACTATACTTAGCTGTGTCAATCAAAATCTGTTGTCAGAAATGATGAAAACAAAAACTGAAAGTGAATACTGTAACCAACAGGTAAATGCAAGTCTGCAGACCTCCTGATCCTCTGTGTAGTTCCTGGGCTACTGTCACTGGGACTGGAGGTTCTAGGGAAAAGAAAGGAGTATGCAGAGGAGAGAGGGAGAGAAGAGAAGATGAAATGCACTGCAAATAGGTGAAAAAGTTGCTGGCTATAAGTTGTAATGGGGTGCATTTCACCACTTTGTCAGTGTATGATCAGTTTGTCTTTATTAGTTCTAGTCATAATTCTGTGTGTAGTGTGGTGTTTCCAGACTTGTCATTGAAAGTAAGGTTGATGCACAGATTAAAGTGTCCATCTGAACCCCAGGAGCCTCTAGTGGTGGGGGGACCTGGAGGTAGAGAACAGAATTAAGGTTCAGTATCACCTTGGGTCAGGGCCACCTGGATCATGGCAGATAAAAAGCATGAACAGAACTTGGGTGTGTGTCATTTTATTAATGCAAAGCCTCAGATGGCCTCTGTGAGGCCATCTGAGGCTTTGCAGCCCTGGGGATCTGATTCTGGTTTCATGAGTACACTCAGTCTATTTCCTCACTCATAGTCACTTCTGCAAGAAGATAACTCTCATCCTCTTTGAATTTTACATTCCCATTTCCAGAGCCTTATTGTTTCTCTGGAGCCCCTAGAACTCCTGACTCCCAATGTCAACAGTGATGTTAATGGGAGCTTCTGTTTATTATAGATGAGTCCATACTATGCCCATCTGAAAGGTCTCATTTGCCTTCATAAAATTCATCTAGAATTATAATTATTTGATAAATGAGAAACCAGAGAGGTTCAGAGGGGGAAGGGAACTTGCCAGGGGTCATACAGCCAGAGAAACACAGAACAGAGCTTTGAGCTCAGCGCATTACAAAGGTTGAGAGGTTATCTTCTCACAGAGTACACTGAAGAAAATATTTTGAAATTGTTTTAAAGTAAATTAACATCAAGTAGGAAGTGGGTGCACTTCCCAAAATGTCTGTAGTTTTCTCATTTCTGCTAAAGGGGAACTTCGAGTTTCCTAGGTCTCCTTTTCTGTGTCCAGCCTCCTTCCCCAGCATGTACAACTGATGGAAATCTCTTAAACTCCCTCTCCTTGACTTGCCTGGCCTTGGAGAACACAGATGGGATGTCACAGAGCCCAGGAATATACTGCTTGGAAGAGTCCTGAAGACATTCTAGTCCAGCTACCACTAAACTCTGGCAAGATCCAGGCCCCAGAGATGCACTGCCTACTGAGGTCATATACCAAGGTTGATGCCACTGCAAAACATACCCATCTCTCTGATGCTCCTCTGCCTCCTCTTTTTCTTGCTGTGACACATTTCAGTACAGATTCTCAGCCTGGGATCTAGGGACTCTAGGGATACATGAAAGCAGTCTCCCTGGCCCTTCTTCAATAGTGTGCAAGTTTAGTGTATATGTGTGCACACGTACACTCATGCAGTTTTCTGAGGAGAGTGTGGTAAGTTTTCAAGAGACTCATAAGGACTCCATGAGCCAAAAAATTCTGAGATCCACTGTGCCTCCCAGGGAACCATTCCCAGCAGCTTCCTGTGGTACACAGCCTGGGGCAGAGGTAGCACGGGTAGGACAGCTATGGAGATTGCCCAGGGCAGCCAGGCTGCAAGCACTTGTTGGCAAGAGCTTAGAGGGTCTGCCCTTCTGCTCTGCACCCCGGCCCCAGACAGTTGGGATGTTGTCTAGCTACCATACTAAGTACCTTAATACTAAGCTATTTCTGGGAGGATCTTTCTTTCCACAGATCCCCTGTTCTATAGACAGGAGGTAAACCTTATTTGTGGTGGCGGACACAGAGCCAGGGAATTTGGGTATGAAGTATTAAGAAGGGACAGTAAGATTGGAAATGGCTTTCTTATTCCAGATTGCTGTGACTTGCAAACAAGGGCAGAAAACAGAACCCAGCCCTGGGAGTATGGGGGAGGGCCATCAGGAAGCATTAGGAGGATGGCCAGTCTGCTGTATGCATGGGGGACAAAAATCAGGCTCTTCAGAGAAAGGGGAGGTCCAGGAATCTGAATGGGCTCAGGGAAACCCTTCAGGGGAAGCCTAGGACTGTGGAGGGTTAGGGATCCAATAGAGAAGAGCTGGTTTGGTCAGCCCAGAGTGGAGGGAGCAATGGCTGCGTCTGCCTCTCCTGCACTTCCCAGGCTTCTGTCACTTCCATCGGACTGTGTGCTGCATCCTCTAGCGCTTCCCAGCTGGCGCAACTGGAGCTGGGTCAGGAGGCTGAACCAGAGGTGGGTGATGGTAGGGGTGGAGAGAAAGGGAGGGGGGACATTGAAACTGAACAGCAGGAGAGAACAGCAGCTGCACAGTCACTGCCTGCTGTCCACACTTGAACAGCTGACTTTTTTTAGCAAAATCTGTTGCTAAGGGGCAGCCTGCTGTCCAGCCAGACCCCCTTAGAGGCAGCTGGCTTCTTCCCGTGGCCAACCTCCTGCCATTTGCTGGCTAACAGGTGCAGGGAGGACCCTTTTAAAGATTCATTGTTTTCAGGGCCTCCCTGCTGCCCTGGATGATGTTTGAAAGTTGTGGCCAGGGCTGCAGAGGAGCAGAGGACTCAGGCTTCCCAGGAATGCAGGGTAGAACAGCCTGTACCCAGTTGTGCCCCACCATCTGGCCTCCTTTCCTGTGCTTCCCAGGTCACTTTCTTTATTACCTGTTTGATTTTAATCATGCTCAAGTGAGAAAATAAGAGCCGTGATGTCATAAAATGTTAGAACAGAGGTAACCAAGATTTAAACAGGTAATCAAGAGGTAATCCACTTAGATTTCACTGGTGCTAGCTTTGAATCTTTTAATTTGGATGTATTATCCATATTGCCAAGAGAGGATCCCAACACCTATGCAAAGAAGGCAGTACATAATCTTACTGTAAGAGGCTTTCAAGTGCACACAGTTTAGTTTCCTGAAAATCCTACTTCATTTGGCTCGTTTTTCTTCTTTTACAATTGACCTGTAGAAATTGGGCCCCAATGTTTCCCTGAAGAATCATAGGGTCACCTTCTTCTGTAATAACTAGCCCCAAGACTTCAAAAAAAGAAAAGAGGGCCCAGGCTCCGTAGTTGTAAAGGCCTCCCTGGCCTTTGTCCCTCCATAGCAGGCTGTCTCTGCACGGCTGGCAGAGCAGCCGCTGAAGTGGAAAGTGAAAACAACTCACTGATTGTTCACTGAGGACAGGTAGCCTGGCTGGCACACCCGTGCCCCTGGGGGCCTCTCCTCTGAGGAGCCTGGGAAGCAAGCTTGGAGGCCTGAGTTGTGTGCCCTGGGGCCTGGGGCCAGGGAGCAAGCCAGGACAAAGAAGGCTGCTGGGGGGAGGGGAGGCGCCCTCAGGCAGGCCAACTAGGCCTGTCCAGCTGCATCTGTCACTCTGTGTTTTGCAGACTGTGCCTGGGTGGCAGGCCAGCCTTAGCCTCATCCTTTCTGGGCTCAGGCTTCTGCTTGCACCTAAGCATCCTCTCTTGAATCAACTTGTACTTTCATTGGGCTTCTGCCTTTTCAAGATTGTGCTGTTATAGAGATTGAAAAAACAGTTTTTCAGAGATATTCAGAGGCCTTGCCCAGGGCACAAGGAGATTCAATGCATGGAAGGCAGTCTAAGGAAAATGTTCCAAATGGAGAAACATCCCCCTTCCTCTCCTGCTGGGTGTTACCTTCTTTCCCACAGTTCTCATTCAATGTCATTTCTTGACATTTCTTGACTGTGTCTTAGATACTATTTGAAACTCACCAAGACCCAGAGTGAGAGAATGAATGAAAATCAGCTCCACCCTCGATCTGGTAAAGCAGTAGACACAGTGTTTTCATTTGAGTAGAATTCTGCCAGCCATTCCAGAGAGAGAGAGACTCAGGAGCTCAGGGAGATAGGTTGTGTTGCATGCTTGGGATGGAGGCATCTGAGAGCCAGAGAGACCAAGTGACTAACGTAAAGGCCATGCAACTGATTAAAGTCAGAGGATACAAATACATGTATGGTTCTCTTAAAAGAGAGACTCCTTTTCTGTGGGACTAGAATTCCTGTCCCATAAGGTGCATGGCCCAATCCAGCAAACAGAAAGAGCCCTGTTACTAAAGCGGTCCCCATCACACCTCCCAACCTTGCTCACTATCCTCTCTGCCCTCCCATGGCATGGTGTCCCACCCTCTATCCCTGCCAAGCTTGCCTGTTTATCTTATAAGCCCATCTTTCCCTTTCTCCCTTCACTTTGCTATCTGCAGTCTAGGGCCCTCTTTAACTTTCCTCCTGATTCTTTCTCTGTGCAGTGGATGTCACCCCACCTCAGCTAGAGACTGAGCACACTGGCCACGTCCTTACATAAACAGGCCCTCAGAGGCAAAGTACTCCTAAATGCTAGCCAAGGAGGCCAGTGCTATCCAAAAAGGAAATCTTGGTGCTCTAGTGGATGGGGCTACATGACACACACCTTACTGTCAACCAAAGCAGCTCCTTTTAGTATGACTTGCATAAATTTTTCATTTGAACAAAAATTCTACAATTAAGAATATGTCAAACATATTGGAGGTCAATATTCTTTATGGTACAGATGGGAAAATTAAGTCTCTGAAGAAAAAGCATGCATAAGGTCTTAGCAGCTCCCAGCCCAAAGCTTTTTAGGAAATAACTTCTATTAATAAGAAACCACCATCTGACTTATAGGGAAATTTTATTTTTGGGTGTTTCTACTACATACAGCAGAATGCTGTGGAAAATCAAAGTATTGTAGAGTTTTGTCATGAGTTAGAAGACGAAAAACTAGAGCCCCACTAAATGCATCTGTCTCAAAAGTGTGTTAGGTCTGACTATATTCCTTTTGAAATATATTTAAATATAAAATATTAAGTTAAATGTATATACCATTTTAAATTTACTGCATTAGTAAGGCTAGGGTGGGTTATGGTGCAATAACAAATCTCTGAAATACCAGAGGCCTATCACAGAGATTTATTTCTCTTTCCCATTGTATATCTGATGTGGATCAGCAGAAGGCTGTGATTCAGAGTCACTCAGGGACAAGGGCTTACTATTGAGTAACTGTGCCAATTAGAACAAGTGGCTTTCTCAGTAATCACGTTAGGAGACAGGTGTTGGTTCTTAAATGCATTGGCCTGGAAGTATCCATAACACTTCTGTTTGTAGCCCATGGGCCAGAGTTCATCACATGACCCCATTGAACTGCAGGGTCTGGGGAAGGTTAGCAATCACATGGTCCTTTCAAGAGTAGTAAATACCTACAATCACTTGACTTTAAACAGTGGAATATAACCCTAACAATCCTGATTTCTGGCTTCCTATCAAACCAGATGATCTATACCTTTGAAGGAGTAATATGTCCCCAATTTCCCACAGATTGTGTGTTTCTCAACTAAGTCCCCAGATGCTGTTTTGTTATCCTGCTATGTATGCCCAACTCTGGAGGAGCTGACTTAATGGGGAGTTTGTGGATCTTCTTGTAGTAATTCAGTCATTCAACAACCATTCAGCCTCTGTTGATGTGCCAGGCTGTGGGGCTGGAAACCAGTAGTAAAGTAGAAAAGCATTGCTACCACCTCACCATGCTCCTGTGCTTCTGTGAGTTTTGGAACAAAAGGTGTGGCCTTCAGGGCCCAGCAGGGTGGGAAGTCAAGAGGAGGTACCTGGGCAAAGAGGTGCTGCACCTATCCTGACAGAGGGCTGTTTGGGCAAGGGTTTCTTAGAGAGCTAGCATCAGAATATTAGAGGAGCAGCAGGCTATGTTCTGATTAGAAACTGTAAATGTACTAAAGGAGGAAAAAGCTTGGCACCCACTGTGAGCTGCAATCAACCCAGCAAATCTGAGGTTCAGAATAGGAAGTGGGATTGAGGCTGGATATAGAGGAAGACAAGAGAAAAACCCACCTGCAGTTGTTTCTTTGTAAATCCAGCCCTTCCTACAATAAGCTTTCTTAAAAATGTGGCTGTACCTTGTACACACAGAAAGTGTCAACCCAGAAGCCCAGACTCAGGGCAGCTCCTGCCCCACAAGTGTTTGAGGAACTACCCAAACATGCAGCTGGCAAATCACTTTTTCCACTGGCAAGCTGAGGAGTTGAGGAACTGAAACCCTATTTTGAAACCTCTGCTGCCTGACCAAGAAGAATGCAGCAGCATGTCCCCAGCTCCAGGTCTCAGTGGTGCCGTAGCACTGTGTCCTTGAGTAGGTGGGAGGGTCTGCCTTACTTTAGAGCAAGGCAAAGGGAGTGTTAACTGGATGACGCTGAGGTCACTGAAAAGCTCACCTCCCTCAAATCATTTCCCTTCTCCATGCTAATTGTATTTTCTCTGCTTCTGCAATCAAATATTCATTCCCAACACAGAGGATGGGTTCATGATATTTGTGAGAGCAAGGAGGAAGAGAACTTGCTGGACGGTCAATATCAGTGTCAGAGGGGACAGAATATTCTGCAGTGACAGGCCCTGAAATCATTAGTAAATATAACAGAAGTTGGCCCTGACCTTGACTCCCAGTAACATTTGCACACACACAGTTCAGCTTGATAGGCTGTAATGGATTCATCTGAACAAATGTTGGGGGTTTGTGAATAAGCTGATCTCTGTGGTGGAAGGACATAGAATGCACCCTGGCTGTGTTACCTTCCAGTGTCACTCTACCCCTTTAACCCCTAAATGCAACTGGGAAAGTATGAAGAGAGAAAAACTTTAGCTCATTGCCCAGCATGTAGGAAGCCTTGATAAGAGAGGATCCTCAGCCAGAATGTAATCCTCATCTGTAGTTTTGTTTTCTGTGATTTTTGTTACCCAGGGTCAATCTTAGTTGAAAATACTGTGGAAAAAAAAATGCAAAAAGGAAGCAACACTATTCTGAGTAGCATGATTAAATCTCATCATCCCACTTCTTCCCACACAGACATGAGCCATCCCTTTGTCCAGTCTATCCACACTGTGTACACTACCTGACCATTAGTCACTTAGTAGTTGTCTCTGTTTTCAGATCAGCTGTCATGGAATCACAGTGATTGTGTTCAAGTGACCTTTATTTTATTTTATTGCATGGTACCCAAATGCAAGAGTAGTGATAATGGCAATTCAGATATGCTAAAGAGAATCCTTATAGTACTTTCTTTAAATGAAAAAAGTTCTTGACTTGATAAGGAATAAAAATAATACTATACAATGTTGCAAGGATCTATAGTAAGAATGTATCTTCTCTTCATGAAATTGTGGAGAAGGGAGAAGAAATTCATCTGGCTTTTTTTTTTTTTTTCCTTTTTTCTTTATTACACCTAAAGCTATATAAGTTAGGCCACAGCCTTGACTAAGTGCTTAGTCAAGCTGGAAAAGGGATTAGATTACAGTATTCAATACTATCACAGGTTTCAGGAATCCCCTGGGGATTTTGGAATGTATCCTGTATATGTAAAAGGGGTGTGTGTTATTATAAGGGGAGACAGAGAAGTAGGAATCTGGGCAACATACCAGCAAGATAGAGAAGACTCTCCTGATTTACCCTCCGTGAGAGAAAACCAGGCTGGGCTTGAGAAGCCCTTTAAACCTTTTACAGTATGGAGAGGCACACAGATAGCTTCACATGATAATCCACTACTCATCCTGAAGGCTAGATATGAGCCTGCTGCACAAAGGAGAAAAGGAAGCTGATGGTGGGGGAATGCTAAATCCCTGCCCAAAAGCAATATAGAGAAGAGGTTAAGAGACAAGAATCAGAGGTTCAAATGCTTGTGTTCAGTAGTGACTTCTTGTTTGCCAGGTGATCTTAGGCAGCATGCTTCACCTCTGTCCCTGCTTTCTTATCTATAAAATGGGAATATGTGATCCCTACTTCATAATGTTGTTGTAGGACTAGGCGATTCATAGAAAATGCACAACAGTGTCCAGCATGCTGTGAGCACTGTACTGAGTAACCCTGGACTTGGAACAGGCCCAGGGGAACTGACTCCCAAGGCAGTGCTAGGGCCACTCTCCCAGCTTAGTGGGAAGGGAAGAGAGATCCAGGGTGGCTTTGAGGACTTGGGGAGCAGCCAAGACTGAAGCCATCATTCAGGGTGTTGCCACCAAGGAAAGAGAGCCACATGGCCTGAAATGGTGAGAAAACTGTTTCAAATTCCTAAAGATCATGGAGTTTTTCAGAGTGGGGGACCCCATCCTCTGGGCCTGATTCTTTCAACTATAGTCACCCTACACTTGAACAGCTATGAAGCCAAGGTTACAGGCCTCAGTGCTGGGGCCCCAGGTGCTAAAATATACCAGGTAGAACTCTTCCTGGCTCACCTGTCTGTGAACCCTCCCTCATCTTTCCTCCAGGTAACTTCCAGGTCTGCAGACAAGAGAAGATGAAGGAAGAGTGTCCATCCAGCTCTCACGTGCCCATCAGTGACAGCAAGTCTATCCTTAAGTAAGCTTTGGTGTGTGGTAAAAGAGATTTTGCATCTCCTTTTGGCACCTCCCTGCATGGCAGTCATGTGGAGGGATGGGGGACTTTTTCAGAGATAGAATATGTGCCCTAGGGACAATGGTGGGTGCTGTGTTTTGAGGCCTGTTTCTTTGGAGATCAGTGTACCCTTCAGAGTGTGGGTTTGAGCCCAACCTCCTAGAACTCACAAAACCAGGAAGGCAGAATGGTACCCACTGGGGTTCCACAGGGAATACATTTAATTTAATTTATTTACAAACTAGAATGATACTAACACTCTCGCTAAGTTGAATGGTTAACTGGTTTTGAGTTTTTAGTAAAAAAAAAAAAAATGAGTTTTTAGTTAAAAAGTATTTTATTGATGTATTTTTAACTTTGCTTATTTCTATTTACTTTCATAAAAATATTGGGGATATTTTCTCAATCCATTTCTTAACTGAAGAAAAGTATCTTTTTCATTTTATCTTGCATTTTGAGTCCTGAGTCCAAATATTTTCTAATATTTTCACCCTGCCAACTTGAAAGTGAGCCAACATCCTTGAAATGATTAGCTTTTGCTGGGGACCTTCCCCCAGGGGTCCTCCCAGGAGCAATCCAAGAAACACACATCGTTATATCACATCATTGCTTCTCTTTGCATTATTTTTAATTTAAATTTTGTAATAAGAGCAATGTAACAATATAATCTGAAAAGTCATAAAAACTTTAATCATGATTAAGTTCATGTAAATATGTATTTGCTAATAATTTTATGCTCAGCATTTATCTCCTACACAATGGAGATGTGACACTGAGTCCTGCCTTCTTAATACCATAAGTTCATACATCGCTTCCCCTATGAGTTCCCATCATGTCCATGTCACATACAGACCACAGACTCAGGCCCTAGAGCAGGTTCTGCTGTCCTCATTTTGTGTTGCTTGCATGTGGCGGGAGGCACTGCCTGAAAAGGAGCCAGAACCTTGGGCTCCAGCAGGGGAACCTTACACCTCTGGTAAAACTGGCTGGGCAGGTATGGTTCCTAGACCCTCCATAGGGAAAGCACTTTGGCAAAATAAAAAGAATGTTATCGGCTTTCACCAATAAATTTTGAATTGATTCTGCTGATAGTATAACAATTTAGATGTTCTGGGTTCAATAAATGTGTTATTGCTACTAATTTTACCTGTTTTGTTTTCCCTTTCAATGTGACTACTAGAAGATTTAAAATTGTTTCTGTAGCTGCATCTTGTGTAGATTGTCCTGTGCTGCCTTGCATAGCCTTTTCAGGTGTGGAAGCTATCCTGGTCTTCTCTGTCCAGCATGTCTGTCAGGGCACTGTCACTTTTCCTTTTTAGTGGGAGAAATATGTGGGCAAAGTGGGCCATCAGGATCTGACTCTCAGCCTGTTATCTTCATCCTTTGATTGTTCCTCTGGAGAGTCAAGATGGGCAAGAGGCAGGCACCCCTCCTGTTCTCTCTGCAGAAGCCACACAGGGCCTTTATAGGAATCAATACCAGGAAAAAGCATGAATCTTTGAAATGCCAATAATCCAAGCCCGGGGGATTCCTCTGAGGAAGTGACTCAGAGGTAGAGCACAGGGAAGTTGTCAGGAACGCTTATCTGTGATACTGAAAGTACACATACCCTAGATGTCCTTGGGAGGTTGGGGCCTACCTGCAAGTTTTGCTTCTTTCTGAGCTTCCTCACCTAGAACATTCCTCTTTCCACAAGGATCCACATGCTGAACCTTCTGGAAAATGAAAGGATTGATGTCATGGTGGCACCATCAGGGCCCTCTACTGATCATATGCAACTGACAAAATGTGTGTAATTATGACCATTTTATGAGGGAAGAAACTGAGGCTAGTGAAGTCAAATGCCTTGTCTGGGCCCCCTCCATGCCCCAAGTGTACGTGTGTGTCTTTACCTTTTAGGTCGGAGCTCTTGAGCCTGCTGAAAACCTACAACTGCTACCATGAGGGCAGAAGCTTCCAGCTGAGGCACCGAGAGGTGAGGCCTGCAGGTCATTTTTGTTCACAGGGTCACATCATTTATGCTGGCTTGCCGAAGACAGCCTTGGCCCACACCTGTTTTTTCCAGGGTAATTATGATGACTATTCTCTTCACTCTGAATGTCCCAGCTTGGATAATAAATTATATGATTACCCTGTCACTTCCTGGTCAGGGACCAGGTTACCAGCCAGCAAAATAAAGTTGGAACATCCCTGTAAGAGTTCAGAGAAGATAGGAATCACTTTAGGTATCTTTTCCCTCCACCTTTGTCCAGGTAAATTGATGGGACAATGGTGTCTGAAGTCTCAGAGACTGCCTAGCCTATCACAGTGCTTAGTGGAGGAGACCAGGGAAGAGTCAGTCCCTCTTTTTTCCCTACCAACATAGCCCAGTATCCCTGCCCTTCTAACCTATGTCCTCAGTGCTCTCATTTGTAAAGTGAGGTATTTGGGCCACTCAGGGTTATAAGTTCATATGGTTGCAGGGCCTTACAGGCTACCCATGGGGAGTAGGTCCAAACTGGGGTTAGCAGCTACCCATCAGATCCAGCCCACGGCTGCCGTGCAAGAATTTGGGCCTCATTCAGCCAAACCTCCCCTATTTTTCAAAAGCAACTAGATGTCTGGAACTTCACCAAGAATTTCCCAAATCTTAAAACATCATAAAGGCTTAAGAAAATATGTCCAAGGTCAAATGCAGCCTCAGATACCAGTTGTACTCCAGGGCTTGTCCTGCAGGACCCAGGCTCAGTAGCCATTTGAGGGAAGATGAAGCAGAGCCTGGTCTTCCACCAGAATCTTCAGACATTTTACACAGGAGCATTAGTCACAGCTTTGTACTCCTATCTGGGTCGAATTTAGTGTATTATATAGCTTAATGGTGAGTCTTACCATATTAAGATTTTATTTGGGGAGTTTCCATGTTGAGATCCTGTTGGCCACCCGTACATTCTCCATCTATTGGTGACTGACAAGGGCCTGTGAATTTCAAGTCGCCTTTCTGCTGTCAAACACGGAATGGGAAACTCACAAGAGACTTCATCAGAGTGGAGGGCACTGACTCACTAATTCTCCCTCATATTAATTATTCATCAGTCCACATCCTTCTTAAGCAGCAAATGAGAGTGAGCCAGATACACAGTTAGACACCTGAGGCACTCTACAGACCATGCCAGAGGTCACTCTCTTTAGCATCTAGTTATGTAGGCTGTATGGCTGGGGAGCTTTAGGCTCCTGAATCAGGAAGGCTGGGTGGCTTATGACCACCTGGAATGGCACAAGCCTCACACTCCACATTCCTTTGATGTGCCCTCCTGACTTGGTGCTTTGGCACTGGCCCTAACACTTGTCCTCCTCTCTATGTGCACCTCATCCTCTTTTCTCTTCCAGGAACTATCTCTCCAACACCTCTCTTACCTGATCTGCTCCCAGACTACCCTGTCCACACCCAGCTCCTTACTGCCACTGGCATGGCTCTAAACCCACCACCTTGCTATAGTAGGTTCTGCTATAGTAGGTTCTTTTCTTACCTGAGCAGTGAGCCCCTTGGAGCTGGGTCTAAGCCTCACTTGGTTCTGGCCTTGGTTCCCCAAGCCGCTGGTATCAGTGTGTACCTGTGTGTGCACAGCTGTTGGGTGACCAGCCACAGATACAGGCCTGGAGTGAGTTGGAATAAGAACAGTGTCCTGAGCTCCAGTGTGCTGGGCAGTGGGGAGGGACAGGGGGGAGAAGGGTGTGGCAAATGGGGTCAGAGGGCTCTTGCTCTTTGACCTGTACTGCTAAGTGAGGAGTTGGTTCCCACTTCAGATTGCTGATAGAGGCGGGGGGCGGGGGGGCGGTATGTTAAGATTATCTACCTGCTGGGCTTCCATTTTTCAATGCAGAGCCTTTCAGAAATTGATCCAAGATCCTGGTTGTTCTCCTTGTGAGGTTCCTGTACCAGCAGTTTCAGCATCACCTGGAAACTGGTTAAAAACACATTCTTACCACCCCTCCCCCAGGCCTGCTGGATGAGAAACTCTTGGTCCTTCCAGCTGGAAGGGTTTAACAATCCCATCAGTGCATTCTGATGAAAGTCAAGTTTGAGAGACATCAGTAAGAACTTGGTTTTGGCATCTGGGATTCCCCAAGATAATCCCCTCTGTAGGAACAGCCATGTTGGGGGCAGGACTGTGAAGTACTCCTCTATTGGTCTTACCCTGTGTGTGCGGGACAGTCCAAGTGGAAAATTGGGGGACTCCTCAGCCCCAAGGAGCATTTCTGACAGCCTGCAGTGGTAGGAAGTTAACTCACAGCAGGGGGTTTTCAGGTCCCTAACCCCAAAGAGGATGTGAAGATCTAACCTGATCTCCATAGAGCCAGAAGTACCTTTCAGGAGCTTTCTGCAGGCCTGACAGACATGGGGGTGCCAGTGTGAGTGAGTGTCTTTTTAGGGTAACAACCCCATAAAGATAAGGCTGAGGGCTGGGATTGTGGCTCAGTGGTATAGCACTTGCCTAGCATGTGTGAGGCACTGGGTTTGATTCTCAGCACCACATATAAACAAATAAATAAATAAAAGTCCACCAATAACTACTAAAAATATTTAAGAAAAAAAAAGACATGGCTGAAGGTTTGGGGCTCAGCATTATTATACTGATAAGGATGCCAGGTTCTAGGGCATCATGCCTCTTAGGGTCTCTCTGAGTCTTTGTGATATACCCACCAACCATCTCACAGATTGCAGATCTGATACTTCCTGGGCCTCTGGGATCTCCCAGTCTCAGGCACTTGCTGTAGGGCCATCCCAGGCTGACATTTCCTTGAGCAAAACCTCTAAAACTATAATATAAGAGTTTCGTCCCATGGGAATGACTATTTTTCTTGCAAAGAAATTCCATCTCTCAGAGATTGTCTTTAGTCCAAAGTCACTTTGAAGCAAATAAAAGATGTCAGCAGGGTTCTGAAGTCTGAGCAAAGTTGTTTATAATATAGCAATTCCATTTCTGACCCTAAGGTTCAGAGGTCTTTAGAGGTCACTGCTGAGTATCACTGAACAGATCCTAGGAATACAGTGCTGTTTGTAGCCCTTGATCCCCAAGCTAAGGTGCCTTTGGGCTGCAAAAGGGCTTGCTACCCAGGTGTGCCCTCCTAAAGCCATACAGTGTACTGAGAGACCTCCTGCATATTGTCATTGGGCCTCCCTGGTAGCACTTATAGCCTGGGTGCTACACTTAGGAGGCACTGTCTTCTTCACAGTCACATCCTGTGTCTGTAGAACTTGGAGAGATGAGGTGCTTCTGTGGACAGGGACCATACTCTGGGGCAAATGTTTCCTTGTGACCCTTCTCCAGCTTCCTTAGGGTGAAGGCATAGATTCCTTTCTCTGGAGGCTAAGATACCAATGAGCTTTGCCTTTGGGATGATTTTGTTTGTATTGCAATGAAAAGTATAAGCTGCTGAGAGAAATTTGTGCCTTTTGAAGATGGCAGTTTTAAGTAGACTGGCTGGTGTCTCAGAAGAAAAGCTGACTACCTAGAAATACCTGTATGTAAACCTATCACTCTAGACTTAACAGATTAAGAGGCAGGTTAACTCTCTCTGAACTGTTGCCTTGTACGCAAGCCTTACTCTCAGTTCTCAATGGGCTTACAGGCTCCCCCTGATGGGCATGAGCATTTACTACACCCAGTCTAACTTAGGACTTCACAGGCCTTGAACAATGTAACAGAAAGAGCTTCTCTATCTACTGTGCTGAAAGACAGGAGCCTTTCCTAGGAAGGTTGCCCAATTCCCTCTCCTAAGCACTGGAAGACCACTGAACCCTGAAATGAGTAGTTGGCCCCTTGGACAGCTGTTCCTTGGAAGCTACAAAGGGCCTTCCCAGCCTGCTCCTTAGGGAGGATCTTGAGTCCCAAGCCCCCTGGTTACTCCGAAAGCCAGGAATCAGGAGAATGTGATTGCTCAACAGGGGTACTTAGCATAAAAGGAATTCTGGGATGTTCTGTCTTCAACAGCTTGGGACACTGCCAGAAATCCCTCTTCCAGCTTTTTAATTCAACTGCTGGTTGGAGAGCACTTTTTGAAGGTGCCATTAACTTCTTTCATATCAAGGATTATTTGAAGAGTCAGAATCCAGGCATCCACTCACTCCATTTGACCATCCCCCCACCATGACCCCTTGCAACACTGTGGTTTCTGACCATAAATAGGTTATGAAGTTCCACCAGAATGTTGTACTAGTTGCCAGTTACCCACAGTGGCCCAGTTTTCATGCTGCCTTGCAGAAGGGGCTTAAATGAGGGTGGCCCAGCAAACCTGGATTATCTAGTCCCTAACTAGGAACCCACTGGATAGGACATCCCTGCCCATCACTCCTGAGGACATTATAGCTAAAGAACACCCTACATATATTTATAGCAGGTCAGGGACCCACAGGTTGAAAGTTATTGAGGAGACCCAGCAGGCTGTGATAGATGCAGACATGTGTAGTTGGTGCTTATCATTCCATCTCCAAGTTCATTTGTCTAGTTTCCCAGCCCCTGTAAGGACAGATGATGGTGTCCCCCACTTTATAGATAAGGAAATTGATTAAATTACTTGTGTGGAACTTTTTCATTTTGGTATGTGGTTTATATTCTGCCTTCCCAGAAAACCCACAAACAAGGATCGATAAACATTTAACAATTCCAAAGCAATTAAACTAGACATACAAACACAAATGAAGAAAGAAAGAAAACAGATTGATAGTTCACCAAGCAAGATGATAGAGGAGACTCTAGCTTGGCTTGAGCTTGGCTGTGGGCCCCCACTCCTTTTCTCCTTTCTCTCTGCCACTCCATCTTGATGAGGGTCAGCGCAGCACAAGAGAACACAGTGAAAGGTCTTTAGTCATGATTCTTTTCAGTTATCTGAAGCCATATACGTCTCTGAGGACGGAAATCCACCCCCATTCCCTGTCCTTTTTCTCATGCTCGCTAGATACCTCCATCAACTGGGGTTCTCCAGGCTGTGAGAACCCAAAGCTGACCTGTGTTGGTCAGAGTCTTAGGACATATGAACTGGCTGGAGATGATGTGGGTAGGGGTAGGGACCAGGCCAATAGGTCCAAGCATTTGGCACCCTGCGGGTTGAATGGTACAGAGTCTGTCTTGGCATGGGGACCTTCCCAATGCCACAACAGGACTTATGAATTGGAGCCATCAAGGTTCCCCCAGGGTACCCAATGACAATTCCCCCTGGAACACAGTGGTGCATTTGTTAAAATTCCATGTTTTATGTTGGTCCACATGAAACAAGGGCTCTGAGGGTAGGGACCAAGAGTCTGACTTGGGTATGTCCAGGGCCTTGCTCTGAAGTCTCTTGGGAGCTGAAAGCCCCATCGCCAAGCCCTGCCCCTAATTTCCTCATCTGTGGCTGCAATAGCTACCTAGAGTACAGGCTCATGATATTTGTTTACTCATTGGAACAGCCTGAAGGCAGGTTCCATCAGTTATGTTCATGTTACCCATGAGAAAAACAAAGAACAGAGACACAAGTCACTTGCCCAAGGTAACAGGCCAGTAGGGAGTAGAGCAAATGGCATCCGTCATGTCTCCTCATGTGAGACAGACTGTCATCACTCTTCAGAATAGGGGGGCTTCTCACTGTGAATTGCTAGAACAGGCAGCTCTTGCATGAAAGCATTTCCCTCCCAAAGAACTGCCAGGGACAGTATCCACCGTAAGGGAGGGAGGTGGGGAGGCAATGTGGACCCAGCACACTCTTTACAGAAGCCTTTATTGGGGAGAAGTCAGAGTTCATGGATCACAGGGAGGTGCAAGTAAAGACTTCTGAGAATACTACTTGGGCGGGGGTTGCAGGGGGAGGCTGTGGCCCGACCTGGCTGCCCAGAAGTCCAGGTATTCAGGTTGGAGCTCTGGTGCACATCCTGTGATGGTCTTGTCAGAGAGTGTCCAAATGCCCTGGCTTCAAAGAGCCTCCTTCTGGGGGACCCACTGGGCTTGCCACTGTTGGCCTCTCTGTGTGCACTCCTGTGTCCTGCAGAGGGGCCAGTTCTTCTGAGCAGGTCCCTCCTATTTGTCTCGTTTCTCTGAGACTCCCCAAAGATCCAGTCCAGAGGATCAGTAGTGCCAGCAGAGGGCAGTGTGGACTGCTGACCACTGAAGCTCGCAGTGTTGTCCTGTAGGGATGCTGCAAGGTGACTTTTCTCACTGGACCGGGCTGACCTGTGGGGTCTGCTGGGTTGGCTTCCTGCTATGACCTTGTCAAGCAAAGAGGTGGGCTGTGCCAGTTGACAAATAGACCTCACATAGTCATCCAGGCTGGGAGAGGCTGGGGGATCCTGCCCAGTTCCCCCCGGCAGGATCTCCTCTGAAGTCTCTCGAATTGTGGGCAGGTGGGCCACAGAAAGTAGAAGGCGGGACCTCATTGCTTCTAGTAAAACAGAGGCAGCAACCTGTTGGCCGATAGAGAACAAGTGGTGAAGACCCGCCATGCCATCCCGACAACTCCCCCCACCCCCGTATCCCCTCCATTATCTGAAGGAATCAAGTGCCCTGAGAGCAATGTGAAATCTGCAGACCAGGAATCAGACTCCTGGGCTCATCCTTCCCACCAACATTAAAACTACATGTGCTAAAGACTTTATTACTGTGGTTTAAGATTGTGCACAGAAAAGAGAACCCAAATGCACAAATGTGGGATCGGAAGAAACTTGGGCTTAAAGTCAGCATCTGCCATTTACTGACTTTGAGAGCAAGATCATCTCTCTAAGCCTCCACTTGCTTTTTCATAAAACAGGGTTATAAATATAACCCTGGCAGGGGGCTGTGGGAAGCACATGAGATAACACCTCTTGTGTGACAGCTCTTTGTAAAATCAAAGCCTTCTGCAGATGTGGCACTTAGCCCCCGGCAGACTGCCATTAGCAGCCCATTCTAGTCTCTATCCTATAGAGAGATTGTACAAGTCAAGGCTAACAATTGCTCTCAAAAATAAACAAAACCCTTGTGTTTTATCTCAAATCAGAGAGCATTTACTCTCTCTTACCTGTAGCTCAAAGATCTAGGAGTGGCAGGGAAGCTGGACGACCAAGGACAATCCTATCCAAAGGGAAGCCCCGGAAAGCTCCAGGGTGGATAGGTGGGAGTCCGGCAGCTCGAGCCCTGTGTCCAGTGTTGGGTCACTGGGAAGAGGATGGTAAGGACGAAGCGCTGTGGGTTGATATCCAATGTCTGCAATGGAAGGCTTCTCCCTGTGCTGTCTGGCAAACTTTGAAGCCTGCTGGCCGCTTTTATACCTTTCCTCCAGTCATCAATTACTGTCACGAGGGCCAAAAATAGCAGTGCTCAGGAAGGCACTCTGAGGAAAACAGTTTGACAGGCGGGGCCTGGCCCAGCTGCCAGCCTGGAGCATGTGTTTGTGCCTGTGGGAGGGTGGAGAATGTTTACACTGGAAGGTGGGGGCGGGGTGGCCTTCACTCCTGGACACCTCAGTGTACTTGCAGAGTCTGGGGGCTCCACGGATTCCCATAGCCAGACCCAGGGGCCCAGAGTCTGCCACCTGCTCTTGTATTATATCAGTAGCCTGTGACCCTCGGACATCCTGGTGTTGTGGTCATCCTTGCTGAGTGCTGGGCCTACCTCTGTGAGGTGGGGCTGGCCAGGTCCTCAGGCATCAGCCATGCAGAGCCCCAGCCTGGAGGCTTCCTGGGCCTACCCCAAGGTGAGGTATATCCACCTTGGACTGGGACCAAGGGCAGCCTGCTGGAAGTCTGATCCTAATCTTGCAACATCCCAGATGAGGTATTTTTAAAAGCGAATGTGTTTATTTACTTGTTCACTAAATACATCGTGTTACTGTGTGCAAGAGACTGCTTTAAGTGCAGTAAACATAGCAATGGACAGTCATGGCCCCCTGGAGCTTATATTCCAGGAAGAGAGACAATTAGGTCATCTGTGAACAGATGTTGTGACTTCAGGTATTGATGAGAGCTGCAAAGAAAAGAATAGCAGTGGCATGGGACAGGGTGGCAGACTACGCTGTAAGTACAGCAGTTAGGAGTATCTTCCCTAAGAAATGACATTGATGTAGAGACTTGAAAAATGTGGCAGCATGGGCAAAGACCCTGTGATATGAGTGTGCTCGACATGTTCAAGGGACATTATGCCTGCCCCTATGGGAAGTCATAGGATCCTAGCCTGGACACTGGGTTTCCCACAGAGGCTGATGGAAGGACAATGCAGGGTTTGAACAGGGTCCTATAGTTGGACTTCTGCTCTGGCTACTGTGTCCGGATTATAAGGGGTGGCTACTCGGAAGGCCAGGGAGACCTGGGCAGCATTGGGAAGTGGGGGGGGGGGGGCTTCCAGGACAGGAAGTGGCTGAGGACAAGGTGGGAAGGCCCTGGGAAAGGTCTTGGTAAAGAATCAGCACTATGCCAGCTCAGACAGGTCCCTAGGTTCTCCACCCCAGCCTGAGCCCACCTGGAACACCCCTGTCCTCAGTTGGGGGAGGAAGAGGAGTCATAGAAGGGAGAGGGCTCCCCAATCCTGAGATCTTGGTCTTCAGTTCTTGCTTCCAAGTGGGCAAAGGTGTGAGGCACCTGTGAACGGAGAGCAGGATTTCAGTGCAGCGGGGCAGTTACCCCCTTGGCAGTCCTTATATCTGAAGGTTTCTATCCTTTGTCTGTTTCTCTGGCACTTCGTTGGATTATTAGTAATTAGCTAATTAGTCAAGAGAATGAACTGAGGAGGAAAGAGTTGACTGGGACACAGATTTAGAGGGCCACAATAACTTTCTGGTATGTGAAATTTGAGGCCTTTCTAAGGTTGGTATTACCATCAGAATCAGGAGACACATCTCCTGCCTCTGCCTGCCGGCACTTCTACTAGCAGATTAACCTAGTAGAATCTGCTCTAGCCTTAGTTTTTCATTGATTTTATCAGAGATAGCTTTAGGCTAATAGGGCCTCCCATCCATTAGGATGGATCTAGAAAGAGGGGAGGGTATATCCATGGTGGATGGGCATGTTGGGAGCACAGGACACACATGGGTAGGGACATCCAGCATGGTCCCATCCAGTCAACCCATACCTTGCCTCCTCCTTCATTGCAAGATCCCCAGATTGTCCTCCTTCAAGGACCAGACTTGGCTGTCCAGCCCCACTGCCTGTCCGAGCTGTGCCTTTTCCTCTTCCTGGAGTGGGGTAGGCATTCCTTCCTCATTGAGATGCTGACTAAACTCCCTCCTCTCCCCTCCAGCAACCTCCAGGACCTCTTCTGGTCTTGGGCAGTGGGGAGTGGCCAGCTTCCTATCTTTTTCAGCTGTCTTGGGCTTTCTTCAGGCTGACCAAGCTGTTCCTTGCCTGCCACTGCCTTTGTCCAGGCAGGTCCTACTGTTGGGAATGCCTGCTCCCCCATCCTCTCCATCCACCTTCAACCATTTCCAAGGACCAGTGTACAGGTACCTTCTCCAAGAGCCTCCCTCAGCTCTCCTTCTGCACCCAGGCGTGAGTCCCTTGTGGCTGCAACCACGTCTGCTTCATCTCCCTCTGAGGGTACTCTTTATGAATGAATGAGGTGATCCCACAAGCTGAGATGTTACAGGTAGGGCAGGGTCTTGTGATAGAAGTACCTGAGGCCAAGACAGAAGAGCTGAATCTTACCTTGGTTTTTCTTATTTTCCCCAGATACCTTTAATTCCATAGCTCAAACAGCCTTTATAGGGAGTTTGGTTTTACATCTGAGCCTGCATATCATCAGTGGGTATCAAAATAGCTCTGATATTTTCTTGTTTGGTTTCTTTTTTCAGCAAATAGGACAAGGTCATATCATAGAGTTATGTGTATGTTCAATAACTTTAGAGGAGATCATTTTATCAGACTGTTTGAACTAGAAATGATTGCTAACTGTAATTCTAAACCCTGCAAGGCACCTCTGTAAACACTGCCAGAGATATGAAGAAATTTCTACAGTGCCCTGTTCTCATAGGGCTTTCACTGCCCATGAGGAGAGAGAAATGAAATTTGTGAATCTAAATGTTGTTCAAAAATAACGGCAGGATTCCACCCACTTAAGTGAGAAGTCTAAAATAAACTTACAGATTCATAGAGAAGAACGGTGGTTACCAGGGGCAGTGGGGAAGGGTGGGTGAAATGGGGATTGGTGTTCAATGAGTATAAAGTTACAGTTATGCAAGATGAATAAGTTTAAGAGATCTGCTGGACAACACAGTGCTTAGAGTGAACAATACTGCATTGTGCGCCTAAACATTCATTAAGGGAGCAGGTCTTGTGTTATATGTTCTTACAACAAAAACAAATAAGTAAATAAAGAAATACAATATTGGATGAGATTGTAATGGGAGAATGATGTTTAAGTTCTCTGGCTCAGTGGGGAGGGTGTTCAAGGAAGCCTGGTCAAGCCCACTTATGGGGTCATCCAAATGGGCACAGAGAATCTGCGATGGTCACTGAGAGACTGAGGCCATAAAATAGGTCAGAGACAAAGAATGAAGGACACAAGGGGTGTGTGAGCCAGAGCCAACCAAGGTGCTTGTGGAGCAGAGGGCTCTGTGGATTAAGATTTCAGGTTGAGTGGCAGGGAAGGAGCTGTTCTATCTGCAGAACTAAAGAAACCAAGAGTGGTTGGGGACACAGGATGAAAGCGGTTTTACAGAAATACTGGAGGGAGATTTGGGACTGGCAGTGTCCTAGAAGTAGTGAGAAAGGCAAGATCAGCTATCAGAAAAAATCCAGCTTGGAATTCTGGTTGTAGAATGAGTCCCAACAAATGGGAACTGCTGCCATCAGAAGTGTGGGGAGAAGGACAGGGCTGAGACCCATCTGGAGGAGGAAGTCCTTTGTCCTAGCGCACATGAGATCCAGCAGGATCTGGTGAAATAGGAACCTTGCCCAGGCACAGTGTAGGCAAAGCAGTGTCTTGTGTAGACAGGTGGTCATACTGTGCTGCTCTGGAACACGCTTCCTCACTGCAGTGTGGACGTGCCTGCTAGACAGCTGTGGGTTCCTGTGGGACACCTGACTCAGTCCTCTGTTCTGACCCTGGCTGTGCCTCTGGCCAGGCCAGAGCTGGACAGTGGAAAGCACGCCTCAGGCTTCCTCCCACAGGGCCCTGGCCTCCTGTCCTGGAGCACGTAGAGTCTTGCAGCTCTTCCTTGGCGGATGAGGAAACGCCAAGGAGAAGGAGTGTGTTTGGGGGCTCGCCTGAGTGTCCTGTCCCTGCGTGGGTATGGGAAGAATGGGCAGTAACTCTGAGGGTGGCTGCTCTGGGGGTGGACGTTTGATGTGTGTGGGCCCCACAGGAGGAAGGGGCTCTGATCATCGAGGGACTCCTCAACATCGCCTGGGGACTCAGACGGCCCATTCGACTCCAGATGCAAGATGACCGGGAGCGAGTGCACCTCCCCTCAGCTTCGTGGACACCTGGACAGCCCAGCTGCCCACTGTGAGTGCCCAGAGGGCAGAGTGGGGTCAGTGAGCCTCATGACACCTTTCAACCCTAGCATTACTGTTTAGGGTGTTTTTGGGATAGGCTCAGCCTCAGAGTGGACAACCCACTCTGGACAGGTTCTGGCATGGGAGCATAGCCCAGCCTGGCCTCCATTGTCCTGTGACTACCTCAGTCCTTCCTCATTTTATGTGCACAAAATGCAGCCTTGCCCAGGGTAACTTTGCTAGATAACAACCACATTGTCTCCCTCACAGAACATTCCTAGGCTTCTATCACCTCCATTTTACATTGCTGGAGGGGGATCCCAGGGCCAAGCACTCCACCACTGAGCTGCATTCCAAGTCCATTCAAACCCTATCTGCAGGGGGAGGGGGACTAAGAATTCACACAAATTTAGCTTCCTACTACTCTGTTTTATTTTAATCTCAGATTTTATTTTTGTAAATATGTTAGAGTTTAAGATCAGACTTATTTTCAGGAGAATGTTTTGATCAGAAGGACAAAGTTTTCTTACCAATCCTACTGTTTCATGGACGTTTACCTCCTCCCACACTCCTACCTCTCAAAAGGGCACTCTGCTTGTTTCTGCATGGATGCCTCTTTTTAAGAGGCAAGCATTCAGGACTGTGCCCCCTACAAACCTGGAGGTAAAACGGATGCTCTGGGATGACTCACCATGTTGACACATAAGCATATCCCCATATGCTCAGAGGACAGATCTGAAGTGCCTAAAGACCTTCTGGGCTCCATGAGACAGCATATCCCCATATGTCCCTCGTCACTTGTAGCAAATTTTGAGCCACACAGACTTAAAGCATAAAGAAAGACTGGATAGCTATGGGTTCCTGTAAAGCAGTAGCGTGACCCATGTCCCTTTCCTGAGATAAATCTGGTCCCAGGTGCTATCAGCAATTGCAGACAGCAGCCCACGTATTCCCCTGGACCCTCCTGTCTGATTCTTCCTGGTAACGCTTTATTGAAGGCAGTATCCCATTGTGCCTGTTCTTTCTCCATCCTGGCATGGAGTATATGGGCATGGGGTCAATCCTACAAGAAATGTGGAGGATGGCCCTTTGGAGATTGCCTCTGCCTGACTCCCTACCAGGCCCTTGGAAAACTCAATTTTCAAAATTGTTCAGGACCCTGAAGCTGAGCCCACTGGGTACATAGCTGCATAGGGATGTACAGCACTGGCCCTGTGCATGTGTCTGAATCTTGCAGCCTAGCATGGCCACTAGGGTCTATGGGGCTAGACATTTGCTCTTCCCACAAATGCCTGTGGGAAAATTTTGCATTTCTTTGGTTTTTTGCATTCACTTGTCTCAGCTTGCCCCATTTCTGTCCTGTATCCTGCCCCCAGAGGCAGCCAGCTTCATCTCTTTGGCCTAAGCCACCTGAGTATTGTGATTGTCTCTTTTCAGAAAGGAACCACCTCCCCAGGACAGCAAAGTCACTACTGAGGAACCAAGCACTCAGACTGTGCCCAAAGCTGAGAGTTCCAGAGATGGCTCAGGTAAGTGGAGCTCAGGAGCTGTCAGGACCCTGTTTCATCCAGGGGACCAGGGAATTGATGCACAACCACAGTCTCCAAAGTGCACGCTTGTGGAATAGCCCCAAATGGCTTCATTTATCTTAGGAGTGACCTGTTCTAATAGAAAGCACTTTGCTTACAACCTCATTTACTCCCCTTTATGGAAAAGGGAGCAGAGACTTGCAGAAGGGTCACAGTGTGTCAGTGCCTTGAGTCCCCTGCACTGTGTCATGCTATACAAAGAAGGAACATCAGCAGAAGGCGCCATGCCCTCCTGGCCCTAGGACTCTGGGGCTTCATTCATAATCGCTCACCTGTCCTCTTTGTGCCTCTTCCCCTAGCACTCAGTGAAGGAGTGGGTGCACAGAGGACAGGTCTGAAGTGCCTAAAGACCTTGCTGGGCTCCATGAGACAGACAGGGAGGCTTATGGTCATGTGATGTGACACAAGTTACACATTCCTGTCTGCAAACTGTCTGCAAATTGTCCAAGCTCTGCCCCTGCCTCTAACACTAATGTCACTGTGTGCTGCAGTGCGGTTTGACCACAGGATTCTTGGGAGCCTCACAAATCCCAAAGGTTGCCTGGTGGCTAGACCCACGGCAATTTCTCTGCCGCCGCCCTCCACTCTGCCACCATCTGTTCCATTTCTCTCCAAAGGGTCCCTGGAGGAAGAGGAGGAAGTACCACAGTTGATGAGGACCAAGAGTGATGCCAGCTGTATGATCCAGAGGAGGCCCAAGTGCCGTGCACCTGGCGAGGCCCAGCGGATCCGCCGACACCGATTCTCCATCAATGGGCACTTTTATAATCACAAGGTGATAGTCCCCCCTAGTATCTTCTAGTGCCCTGAAGCTGAGAGCACAGGAGCCATGCCTAAGCACAGGCACTGCAGCCCTATGATCCTTGTCACCCGCCCCCCCTTCCTAAAGGCTCAGGAGGAAAAGAATCTTGCCCAAAGACCCATTAGCATGACAACTCATTCATGATCTGTGCTTTCTCTGCCACACACTCACTGTCTTTCCATTCTCTAAGTGGTGTGGATTTTTGGCAAGCTCAAGGCAGACAGTAATGCCAATTTATCTTTAGTGAGGCGATGTTCTATAAAGTTTCCCTCCAAGTTCAATTGATCATTCCATGGGAAAAGTATGTATCCAGCCATCACTCTCACTTGTTAAATTAAGCCTGCTAGCAGAGGTGTGGCTAGGAGCAAGTGTGTTTGTTCCCAGAGAACCTGAACAACTCCTGATTCCCAGCACCCGCCTTTTGTCCGAGTATGTATTGTACTGAACTTAGGAAAAGATCACCTTCCCCAAATTACATCATTCCACAAACAAACGGAACTGTAAAAGGAGAAGTTAATTGTTACTATAAATGGAATGAGTGGCAGTTTGGGTGAGGTCCTGGTTGGAGTGTCCTGTGATAGGCCATATCCTGCTGCCCTGGGAAATGAAAGCAAAGGTTTCCAGTTTGAGCAGCTGCCTTCCTTGATAGAGCATGACTCATGAAGATAGAGGAACCTGGGAGGTCCTAGGATTCAGGTCTGAAGGAACAAGTAGGTCAGGTCTTCTAAAGGTTATTCAGGCTGCCCTTGAGGCACCCTGGACTTCGGGATAAAGATTTCAACTCTGCAAGCTGAAGGGAAAACTTTTTTAATCTCATTACCTCCCTTCCGTGCCTTGCTAAGTTTGCAGTCAGTGTTTACAAATGACAGGGTTTTATTTGTTAAGTCCAGAAAAATTCAACGTGAAAATCAAGTCTCCTGAAAAAGCACAGGGATAGCCAGGGTTGAAGTTCAATGGAGATTAAGAATATTATATAGATTAACAATAAGACCATATTATAATTTGGGTATCCTTTAAATCTTGTTTCAAAAAAGGTTTAATCTGTAAAAGGTTAAGCTCCAATTGTTAGTATTTGAATAAATATTGACATGCTATTTTAAGAAATTTTCAAAAATTGTCAATGAATTTGTATATGAGGCTAGGTGTGGAGGGACACACCTGTAATCCCACTGGTTTAGGAGACTGAGGCAAGAGGATGCAAATTCAAAGCTAGCCTCAGCAATTTAAAGAGACTCTGAATAACTTCACTCAGTCTTTCCCCAAACATGATCTGATTCACAGTGAAGTTAATTTTATTTCCAGACTGGGTAAAACTTTTTAGCTGTTCTCACTGCTTTGTCCTGGCCTATTGGATTTGAATGTGGTCTATTAGAGAGAAACATTTTGTGGTTAATGATGAGAAAGCAGCCCTAAGGCTTTTGTTCTCACTTGGAGTTGGTTTGTTTCATCTTGAGTTTGTTTTTGTTTTTTTGAGGGGGGTGGTTTCTGGGCATTGAACTCAGGGGCACTTGACCCTGTCTCAAAATAAAAATTAAAACAGGCTAGGGATGTGGCTTGGTGGTTTAATACTCCTGGGTTCAATCCCTGGTACCAAAATAAAATAAAATAGAATATGTACATAAGTTTAGGTTGTTTCTAATTCTGTGCTCCTAACAAAGAAGAATATTTTGCCCCATGGCTCAAGGTAAAAAACAGTGGGTTGTAACTCCAGTACATTGACTTCTCTAGTGTCTCATTTGTCTCTAAGAAGTATGTCTGGAACATTGAACCTTATTTTAGGCATTGCAAATATCTCAGGAACATGATGTCTGGAGCACTCTGTGAGCTTAAAAGAAAGGAACAATGAGGTTTCTCATCACAGCCACAGCCTTATTTCCATTTGAACCACCCTCCTAAGAGAGGCTGCTCAGCCAGCCACACACTCAGGCCTTGGACTATTACCCCAGGAACAGACTTACCTGGAGAATATGGATGCATTTTTTCCTGACAGATGTCCTACTTTTCAGAACACAGACATTTTGGACAGTTGGATCACATCTCCTGGGTGAGATAGGAGCTTCAAAAAAGAAACCCTATGTGAAAGCCCTCATTCTTACCTGCCCTACATCCATACCCAGTTAGTATTCATAGAAATTAGGGTACAAATTCCCTGAGTCACAAGCAACAGTTGAAGGGTGGGGGAAAGAATAGTAGCACTGACTTCTGGTGGGAGTTGTTCCAGGGTTTATTTCTTAGAACTGTGTACTTGTACTTCACTCAGTCATTTCCACAAACTGTTCTGATTCACAGTGAGACTGGTTTTATTTCCAAACTGGGTAAAATATTTTAGCTGTTCCTATACTGCTTTGTCCTGATCTATTTATTGGATTTGAATGTGGTCTATTAGAGAGAAACCTTTTTGTGGTTAGAGTTGAGAAAGCAGCCCTAAGACTTTTGTTCCCACTTGGAATTGGTTGGCTTCATCTTGAATATCTGGTTTGTTTTTTTTTTTTTTTTGGCGGGAGGGTAGGTGGTTTCTAAGAATTGAATTCAGGGGCATTTGACCACTGAGCCACATCCCCAGTCCTATTTTGTTTTATTTAGAGACAGGGTATCACTGAGTTGCTTAGCACCTTACTTTTGCTAAGACTGGCTTTGAACTCAGGATCCTGCCTCAGCCTCCTGAGCTGCTGGGATTACAGGCATGCGCCATGTGCCTGGCTCATCTTGAGTTTCTCAATGCTTTGTGCAGAAGAAACACCAACAGTCTCTTGTTAATAAGATCTTTCAACTCCTTGAAATGGCTTAATCGCTCTTTTCCATGTTTCTTGGGAACTGATGGCTTTCTGAATAACGTACAACCCAGAGTCAGTCTAGTTCTCAGCTATGGAAGAAGCAGGTTGGGCTTTGAGGCTGCCTCTGGATCTTATCAGAATAGAGACCAGCTGGGTTACTGAGAAAGTCCCTTAAGCACCCTGAGTATCAAATACTCTCTTGAGAGGAATATGTGAATTTGAACTTGGCTTAGAAAGGAAAGAGAACTGACTACTTGCAGAGTAGTCCGTTTCTCCAGGAGGCACCTGAACCCAGAGTTAATGAACGGCTTTCAAGCATTGCAGAATCCTTATGTGGCAAAGTTCTTTCTAGATAGGTAACCCTGAGCAGCTATTTGACCTCCTATAATCCTATGTTTTCTAAGAAAAAGGGAACACATTATAGGCACTTAAAATGGTTGTTATGAGGATTAAATCAAAGATCTGATGTAAAATATTTAGCAGGTTCACTACATGGTTAGTATTTACTGAGGACTTATTAAGTATCAGGCAGTGTCCTAGGTGATTTCATATTCAGATATTCCTCCACTTGTGTTTTAGTCACCTTTTTCACTGCTGTGACTAAAGGACGCAACCAGAACAATTGTAGAGGAGGAAAATTTTATTTGAGGGCTCACAATTGCAGAGTTTTCGGTTCATATACAGCTAGCTTCATTTCTCAAGGCTCAAGGTGAGGCTGAAGATCATGGCAGAAGAGTGTGGCAGAGGGAATTAGTTCACATGATGACTAGGAAGCCGATAGAGTCTCCACTCACAGATACAAAATAAATACCCCAAAGCCATGCCCCCAATGCCCCACCTTCTCCAGCCACACCCCACCGGCCTCCAGTTACCATTCAATTAATCCCATCAGATGATTGATTCTCTGATTGAATTAAGGCTCTCATAACCTAATCAATCATCTCTTCTCTGAACCTTCTTGCATTGTTTCACATGTGAGCTTTTGGGGGAATGCCTCACATTCAAACTATAACAAATTGTTATGAGATTGTGTCCCAATAAACCCATCATATATTGAAAATATCAATGATGAAAATGTATCTAGTACACCTGACCTACCAAACATCATTGCTTAGCAACACAACATTCTGTAGAGAGCTGGTGGTTTTTCCTTGTGATTCCATGACTGTCTGGAAGCTGTGGCTCACTGCCCTGTCCAGCACTGAGAGAGAAGATAGGATCATATTATCAGTAGCCCAGAAAGATCCAAATTCAAAATTCAAAGTACAGTTTCTACTGAATGTGTATTGCTTCTGCCCCAAAGTTGAAAAAATTGTGAGTCAAACCACCATAAGTTGGTGTCTCATAGGCAGAAGCAAGATACATGGAAGATTATAATGTCCCCGTCTTCCGAGGAAAAAGCAAAACTGTGAAAAAGCCCATATGGCTGGAACACAGGGTGCTTGTGAGGGGGTCTTAGTATCATAGATGCATAACAATTAGAGGAGCTATGGATGGTGTTGCATAGGCTGTGGGAAGTCTTCAGATCTTTTTAATTAGATCCATGCTTTTTATTTTAATTATATATATATATATATATATATATATATATATATTTGTTATAGTTGGACACAATATCTTTATTTAATTTATTTATTTATATGTAGTACTGAGGATCGATCCCAGGGCTTCGCACCTGCTAGGCAAGCGCTCTACTGCTGAGCCACAACCCCAGCCCCCCCACCCCGCCCATGCTTTTTATAAATGTCTCTCTGACAAATTGTACTGTACAGATAGCATGGCCTGGCATTCTTTCCAACTGCAGATTCTAAGTCAGGAGGTCTGAATTGGGTTAGGAGAAGTGGGAGGGCCGAGGTGGGACTTTAAACTGTGAAGCAGACCAGACCACACACTATATTTCAGGGTTCTTTAAAAGGTGGTACACATATTTGGGCAGCAATTTGGAGACTGGTTTGGAGGGGCTGAGATGAAGGGAACATGTTGGAAACTGCTATAGCATGACTTGAGGACCTCTGCTCAGGCACCGCTAAGAGAATGTAGAATAAATAGATTTGGGACATTTAAGTCTTAGAATCAGCAAACACTTCGTGATTCAATTGACAAAAAGAGTGAAGGGAAAACTGGCTTCCCCTTCCTCAGTGAATTACTTCCAGGACCCTGGTTCTTAGGATCCAGAGGGCTTTCCCTGGTGGTATGCAGGGAGTGAGGTTATCTTCCTTAAGGATCTCTGTAAGACAGGAACCATTACAATTTCCCTGAGTGTCTCTAGGTCTGGGAACAGTTTGCACATAGATCTGCATGAATGGACAGGTGCAGGTGTTCCTAGAGCCCAGGCATCTGTTGCTTGAGTGTGCTCAGCACTGTGATGCCAGCCCTGAGCTGTCTTCCTACCCCACACAGACCTCTGTGTTCACTCCTGCCTATGGATCCGTGACCAACGTGAGGGTCAACAGCACCATGACCACTCTGCAGGTGCTCACCCTGCTGCTGAACAAGTTCAGAGTAAGTCTGGGCACAATGGAGCAATCTTTCCCTGGGAGGATGACACTTTGTTGTTTTGCTGGGAGGAGAGCTGGAGAGGCAGAGGAGGGCTGTACACTAGCAAGGCTTCCTGTGCTGAACTGATATCTCTGGTATTTTCAGTAAAGATGGAAGTAAATCTCTGGTATTTTTGTTGGGGATCTCATGGGTGTCAGGAGGGGCTCAGGCTGAAAAATCATGTAATTTTGGTGCCTTGTGTATGTGGCTTTGTGGCTGTGGTTACTTTGTTTCATTTTGTCTTAAAAAGTTGTTAAGACTGACTTTCTGTGACTTCCTGTGCAGGTGGAAGATGGCCCTGGTGAGTTTGCACTCTACATCGTCCATGAGTCTGGGGGTAAGTGTCAGTTTCTGCTTCCAGATTATAAAAGCAAGAAGATTCTGCTCCTATGGCAAGCTTGCCAACTGTACTTCTTACCTGAGGGCTCTGGGCTGGCCTTCCTGGCAGTGGGCAGCCCTCCTACACTGGCATATACTGCACTTAAACCGCACACCTTCTTCCCAACCCCAACCCAGGCACACTTGCCATCACTCTCAGAATCCCACCAAAATTGTGTACAAAGCCACCGTCACCAACCTACCTCTTCAAATAAAACGGACCATTCTCAAGCTCATTGTGATTCAGTCAGGAGAGGTGGGGAGTGTAGGCCAGAAGCCGCGACACAGAGCTGCTGCCACAGAGCCTGCATGCCCCTCTCTGCAGCACTGGCGTAGCAATGTCCTGTGACTGAGCTGGCCTGCACTTCCCCATTTCTTTTCTCCCTCCTGTCTACTCAGCTCCTGTTTCTTTCCTGGCTGGATTTTGTTGAATGACACTATAGGAGAAGGAAAAAAGTATTTTTCCTCTACCCTCCTTTTTTGTAAATAAGATTGGGAAGAGAAAAACAAAAGGGGATTTGTGAACAGGTGCATGGTCCATACCCATGGGAGCTCTCAGGAATGAGTGACTCAAAGGGGCGGTTAGAAATTGGGCTTTCAAAGCACTTCAGCAGAAGAATAAGTTTTTAGAAAAGTGACCAAACAAAGAAGGGATTTGAGTTTCCAGGGAGGCAAATAGTGTGAAGGCCAAGATATCATTCCTTCTCAGTTGCCTTTAGCTCAACATAATCCTGTGCCAAAGTGGCAGATTGGGGTTGGCTTGTCGTGCAGCCTTTCCACAGGAAGTGAGGTCTGAAGAAGGTTCCCTGAGCTCCCTGAACATCCATTCCCTACAATGTTCCTGTCCTGGTACAAAGAGAGGCATTTCTAACATCTTATGGATTTTATAAATAGCCTTTTGTTTCAGAGAGGACAAAATTAAAAGACAGCGAGTATCCACTGATTTCCAGAATCCTGCATGGACCCTGTGAGAAGATCGTCAAGATCTTCCTGATGGAAGCTGACTTGGGCGAGGAAGTCCCCCACGATGTGAGTAGGGGCTAGATGGGGGCCTGGCTTCCTTGGGAGGGTCTAGGAGGAGACATGTGGATTCCAGAGGGCTCTAAAGATGACCTTGGCCAGAATCCTCTCAATGTCTCCTGGGACCACACAGTTGTCCTGAAAGGGCTCCAGGTCCCTTTCTTCATAGTAACCACCAGCTTCGTCAGCTGGCTTAGAAGAAAGAAGTTGAGTCCTAGAAAACTGGGGCCCTGTGCTTTTACTTTCATACTAGTGAACCCTCTTCCTTCTTTGGAGTGTACCTTATTGTTATTACATTAAAGACCCACACAAGAGCTCCTTGACTAGGGCCTATGCAAGGGAAGAAGATGGCTAAGTCCTACCAACAGTCTGACCAGACAATGAACACATGTTCAAACTCCTGTGCACAGAAAAAGCCCTAAAGGTTTGGACCCCAAGGAGACAGTCTAGTAGCCCAGTCTCCCTCAGCCTCTTCCCAGAGCTGGTACTGTTTCATTCCATTGTTAAAAACAATGCTGTTCTCACCAGCCTCCCCACACCCACCTATAGAGAACACCCAGTGTGACAATGCTGCAGTATTGAATGCTCTTCCTAATATTCAACTCAATATTTCCTCCCAGGGATAATAGTTGCCTTTGAGATAAGAATGGTTCCCATTCTCCCATCCTACACAGCAGGGCAGTGTTGGGGGTAGGGTGGGAAGAAGGGCAGCTACTTCTGTGGACACAGGATGTTGGCTGGATTGGCCACTATGGAAGCCATGAGAAAAAGAAAATACATTTTGGGCTTCTCATTTAAAGCACATTAAAATGTTCTTGGATTTTCTAGGTCGCTCAGTACATTAAGTTTGAAATGCCGGTGCTGGACAGTTTTGTTGAAAAATTAAAAGAAGAGGAGGAAAGAGAAATAATCAAACTAACCACGAAGTAAGCAGCACTTAATCAGCCAGTCGTGGGTTCTGATCATCAGGGCATGTCTGCAGGGCACGCCTGTGCTGGGTACCTGGTGCCCTTGCAGTTTGAGGAGGCCTGCTTGTCCTGGCTCCTAGCATCACCCTCTGGTCTCTCAGTACTGACAGCATACTGGGGTGACAGCCTGCCAAAATGGAGGAAACCCAATCTAGACTGCCCAGCCAGCCTTGGCATTCTCAGAATCCTGGAATATAACGCAGAAAACTGGGAGGGAAAGGCAGAGGCAAGAGCAAGGGTGGGCACTGGATCTAGTGATCTAACTCTGGAAAAGCAACCACAGAGAGGGCCTGCTAGGTGCAGCTTCTGTCTGGTCTGAGACCTTTTGTACTAGCAGGAATACTAATCCTGCTGGAAGGTGGCAATTGTCAGAACTCAAGCACCAGCTGCTATTGCATCAAGGATGAGTTCAATAGAAAGGGGAACAGGGCCTGGCTGTGTGAGATTAGCCAGACTGCAGGACCCCATGACCTATCTATCCTTCAGCAACATGGAGCAGAACATGTGGAAACATTCCCAGGGCCTGAGGAAGGAAAGGCAGGCTACTCACTGTAGAACCTTGGGTTGGTAACTGGTTTGGATTCTTGTGTCTGACTGAATGACTCTTGGAAAACCTCATCCCCCCAACAGCTTCCAACTGTGCATTTGGGCCCCACAGAGGGAGTCTGTGGAGATCCCAGAGTGAAGGATCTCTTGTGCCATTGATCATGTCACTGTAGGGTTTTAGAGCAGGAAGGGACCTGGGGATCACTTGATCAGTCTACTCAGTTTGCAGGGAGGAAACTGAGGCCCCCAATGAGGAAGGACGTAGCACAGGTTATCTGTAGAGTCTGGGCTGGAACACAGGCTTCCTGACCCCTGACATGTTGCCCCGTGCATTCCAGTATGCCCCTGCCTATGCTGGAGAGTTTTTGGCATGGAATTGTAACAATCTCTACGTGGCAAAGAGCCTTACTGATGCTCCTCACAGGAGCAGGCTGGACTCTTCTCTTTGCTTCAAGAGGATAGGTAGTGACTGCCAATCATCCACTCAAGAGCAGTGATGTGGGTCAGATATCTTTGTGCTCCCTCCCTTCTTCTACTCCTACCTTACTGACCTCCAGCCTCAGTGATTTGTCTTTGTCTTTGTCTCCCTCCAGGTTCCAAGCCCTGCGTCTGACAATGCTGCAACGCCTAGAGCAGCTGGTGGAGGCCAAATAGCAAGCCAGCACATGTCTCTTCTAACACCCATTGCAGCAAGTGCACATGGAGTCCCAGCAGCCAGGCCTTGACTGGTCACACTGATTAATGGCTGCCTAAGGAATCTAGTGCCTGTGTTTTTAACCTGTCTGAAGTCTAAGCATTGTGAGTCCTGCATTCCTATCCTTGGCTCCATAGTGAGCACACACAGGAAGCAGACCCAGGCCCCAGGAGCCAGGAACTTGCCAATTGTATTCTGCTTGGCAGGCTAGCCTTGAAGTGATTGGCACCGAAACTGTGCCAATGGCTGTGTCTCCTGCTGAATAGTATCTGACTAGCCCCTGGGGTGTAGGCTTCATCCATTTGCCTAGTACCTGGCTTAGAGTTCCAGTAGGGCCACCAAGCACTGTCCTCATTCTCCATGTGCACCACGAGATCCCTGTCTATCCCATATCATACTGCTACTTGGTTACTCTACTGGGGAAAGCAGGCGCTGCCAGAAGTTATGGGATGTACCCTGTTTCCAGCTATCACTTTATCACAATATCCCAGGCTTCTAAACCTCTTTGCACAGCCCAGCACCTCTACTGCAAAGCCTAAATCAGGAATAAAACCATGGGGAACCCATCTGCTTTTTGCAGAGATCATTCTTCTGAACAAAGCCCAAAGGAATTATTAAAAGAAGCTTGCTGAAAGAAATTCACCAATTTAATCACGTTGGGGAGGTGGCTTCTATGGCATTGAATGGACACTGCTGGCAGTGGCTTAAGAAGGCAGTGCTTGGCCCTCATCACCACTGTCCTGTGGACACCTATCTGCCTCGTGCCTTCTCTGGACATGTGTACTTCCTATTTAGTGGACAGGGGGCAACTGTAAACACTTCCCTGTGTGGTAATGAGGAGAAAGGTCTGTTTGAGGGAGAAAGGGCTTTAAATTCCCTGGGGCCAGATACTGAGCAATTGGTGTTTGTTGACTATTGGAGAATTTTTGGAGTGAATGAGAAATGCTTTGCAAAAACTGTAACAGTTTACATCAGCCATGTTGGTCTAAAACAGAAGATCAAATTCTTCTGCTGGGGTCTGTGAATGGCAGATTTAAAAGGAAGAACCATACAGACTTGCATACAGACCCCTTATGGGATCCCCCAAAGAGCAGAACATGGAAACAATCAGGCAGTTTGGAGTCACTTGTCAGAGTAAACTTCATACCAGATTGCCCTCACCCAGATCTGTCACCATAGAGACTCAAAGATTCCAGGGGAGGTCTGACAGCAGTTCTCTTGTCTTTTTTTTTTTTTTTTTTTTTGATTGGCGTATATTTTCTTAGGTGCTCAATAAAGGTATGCTGTATTAAACTGAAGAAATGAAGACCAAGCTTTTCTTTTCTTTTTCTTTCTGCATATCCATATTGACCTCTTCTTCTAATCTCTAAATTTCTTAGAGAGCTTGGCAGGAGAGCCACAACCCAATTCTACAGGACTCCTGTGTTTTTCAGGCCTAGCTTGCAGATTGGTGTGGGGTCTGAGATGAGACTGTTGTAGGACATAAAGGAAGAGTCACGGTGACAGCCTATGAGTGATCTGAGCAATATGGTCACCCTGCATCAAAGAATCTTAGCATCAGAAAGGCCTCAGGAATCTTCCAGGAAGTGGCTCAGTAAAGGGTAAAAAATGAACCAAGCAGAAACTTTCAGGTAATTTTATTTACTCACCAGTCCATATTTACAACCTCAGGTCTGACAACTGCCCGTCTATTGTTCAGGAGTAACTGAGTGACTGCCTTACGCCAGACCTGTGCCCAGCCTGGAATAACAAGATGGAGTGACCATCTGTCCTGTGTTCAGGGATCTCTTTGTCAGAAGCAGGCCATCTGGGAATGTCAGGAGACCAGTTCAGCAAGCCAGCTAATCTCCCAGGAAGGAGGCCTGAGGCTGAGCTGCGAATGGCCAAGATAGTGTGTGTGTTTTTGCAGGCCAGGAGACACATGCCAGTGAGGAGCAGGACAGGGGCACGATGCTTTGGAAGCCACTGCAGCAGGAAACTCCATAAGCTCCAACCTGGTTGTTTAGTTAGTTTTTGCAGTTTCTAAAATACTATTTAAGGCCTTTTAAGCTAAGTGTCACTTTCAAAATAGATATTATCAAAACTGATTCCTGAATATCATAGCTAGGAAAAATCTGTATCAAGTTGTATAGACAAGGATATGTCCTCTCCTGGAATCCTCTCAGGGCTCACAAATCTTTTTTTCAATACCACGTTTGTTTTCCTGAGGGAATCAGAAAAGGATTCATCCAGGTCACCCCAACACCAGGATTTCATATTTTAGACTTTGTGATTTCTTATTGATTTGGGGGAGCATCGGCTTCATACAGTTTACAGTATTTCTCATATGAGATAATAAAGGTATCTGAAGATAAAGATCCCTGCAAGAATGTGCTGTCTTCCTAGGCCAGCCCTCAGGGACCAGCGAGTATAATAAACAACTCAGGATAAATCAACATGATTGCAAAAGGACTGGAATCTGGAAAAACAGGGTTGTTTGTCCAGAACAAATGACCAGAAGGGATAAAAAAAAAACAGCTTGTTTTTCTGCCATGATAACCATGTGCTACCTGCTTAGAGTGTTTACCAGAAAGTGGATTAAAGGCCTTCTCATTGTCAAAATAGATCCATCCACCCAGGACACATCTGGCCCCTAAATTCTAGAGAAACAAGGCCCAAGGTTTGTGCAGTCTGACCAGGTGATTTGTAGAGGAATCAAGAATGCCCAGTGTGCCCATGTGTGTAGAGCACAGGCACCCCGCAGCTGTACAGGAAGCAGTGAGATATCTTTGTCAGGTGCAGGGGTGAGCTGCAGCCCCCCTGACCCTCAGTTCCTCAGCAGTGTTCAGGCAGGAAGCTCAGTTGGTCAGATCCAAGCAGCTCCAAGTGTAAAAACAGCCAGATGCACACACTATATTTAGAACTCACAAGCTGTGATTGGGAGTGAGCCAGCTGTAGACGTGCTAGAGATGCACAGCATGCAGGGTGGGGCACCAAGCCCTCCTTATGGGGCTTTAACAGAGATATTTTCTGCAGGCACAGGAATGGGAATTCCCAGGGTTTCCTTTCCCAAAGAGCTGAGAGGAAACTCTTTTTTTTTTTTTTTAAACCAGCTTAGTGGACAGAAACATTGTTCAGGGACCCTGTGCTGAGGGGTCTGCTTTGTGGGAAAGGTACCACTCCGGCCCCTTCATTCCTGTCACACTTGACTGGCTTGTTGCACTAGGGTTGTGACTCCATGTTGCCAAACACAGCACTCCCTGTTGAGACAGTGCATGTGACTGTGAGTGTGTGTGTGCTTGCACTTGCATGCAAACACGTGTTCACACACAAGGGAACAAGGAGTTCAAGGGAAAAAGCCAAAGGAAAAGGAAGCTGTCTTTCCAGGATGTTTCTCAGCTCAGAAAATCCTTCTTCCTAAAAAGAGCCCTTCAAACACTGCCACACTCAGTAACACAGAGCCTCTGCTTTCCGAGAGAAGTCCCAGCTGTGAAGGGGCTGACCCTCTTTTGGCTCAGGTTCCCCGGAAAGATGCAAAGTTAGATGCCTAGGGTATGCATGCCTCCTCCCTCTTCCCCCTTCTTTGTATTTTGTAAGTATAGTGTGTGAACCCTCTCAATAATTTAACTGACATAAAAACAACCTGGAATTCCAGACTTCCTGGCTTCAGAGTCTGTGTCACTTATAAATGTGTGACTTTGGGTGTTTGGGGAAAATTGGGTCCTAGTGTTTGAGAATTGGCCGCCAAAACAGAAGTTGTCATGAGACTGAAGAAAGGCAGATAGATCCAGGATTGTGCAAAGTGTAATTCATTAGTGACTTGCAGACTGAAGTGTGTCTTGGGTGGCAGCAAAATATGGATCTCTGCACACCAAGGCAGAAAGAAAAGATTTATATGTTAAGGTAGACAAAGGTGTATATTTGTACCAGAATGTACTTGGCTTAAAACAAACAAACAAAAAAAAACTATTAACATATTCAACATCAATTAAGAAACAATCTGGGTGTCAGTGACCAGAAAACCATGCTTAGCTGTCTTAACAACTTTGTCCTATAAAGTTTGGGATATGTGCCAGGGTCAGCTGGTAAGCAAAGTGGTGGTTATAATAAAGACAGATGTAGTCATGTCAAGCTGGATCCTACATTGGGCAAGTTACTTGCCTCAGTTTTCCTATCAGAAAAATGGGGTGATAATAACAATTCCTCTCTCAAGGTTGGTAAAAGGTATATTAGCTTTTAGGGCACTAACAAATGGCCTCAAGAATCTCAGCCTACAAGAACATTTATTTCTCTCACATGTTCCATGGGATTGTACTGACTACAGGTGTTCCATTGTCTCTTTCCATCCTGGGTCCTAGGCTGAAGGAGCAGCCCCTCTTTGGGACACTCTATTATTGAGGCAGAGAGAAAGAGCAGAGTGCTGGGGCAGAAGCACAGTGACTCAAAGCTGCTGCTGGGCTGGGTTGTGTCTCCCATCCACTCATATGCAAGTCATGTGGTAAAGTCTACATTGGTGGGATGGGCATATTGTTCACTAGGAGGCACGTAGAGTCACATGGCAATGGCCAAGAATGAAAAATCAGAGAAAGGTGTCACAAATGCACAGGTATAATCATACCATGGGAACATTAACAAGGTACTGTAAGTGCTTTAAACAGAGGCTGGCACAAAATAAGCCTTCCGCAAATGTTAACTATTTTTAAACTAATAAATAAATTATGAGCATAAAATCGTGACTAATTATTTTCAGTTCTTTTTTCTTTTCCCCTTATTACCCATGTCCTATTCCATGTTCTTTCTTCATCCTTACCTCTTACTCCATCCACTCTTGGCCATTTGCCTCTTCATACTTCATCTTCCTTTTAAAATTCATAATTCATTACCCAGTCCTATAATCTGCATACCCCATGGGACTTCTGTGGCTGGCTCAGTTGTTTTCAAGATAGGAAAAGGAAAATCCACCTTTAAATGGGACATGGCAAGACTTAGTTTTTAAATTTATGGCTGTCTTACAAAACGTTTTTGAAAAATTTTATTATTTTCACATACATAGAACAAATAGTCCTAGCAGATAATCTTTGCTCTTAAAACTTCCTAAGCCATCCCTGGCGTCTCTGGTTATTGCCTTTCATCCCCAGCACATCCAACCACCAATATCAATAGCTTGTAATAATAATTTAAAAATAAAAGTAATAACAATGGCTCACATTTCTTATGTGTTATGTATTGTGTTAAGTGCCTTACGTTATTTTACCTCATCCTTTCAATAGTACATATATTATCTGGATTACTGAGTTTGATCTTCATGATCCAGACCTCCTTCAGTTTTATGCTTTAACATTTGCAGAGGCAGCTCCTTGAATAACAAAATGTTCCAGTTTTGGAGTATGAAAGAGAAACATGCCTCTTACTTATCTGCCATACAGATGTGATGGTCCCTGATGTATGAAACTATAGTAAAGATGAATGACCAGAACATACATGTAAAAGCAGTTTGTAAGCTGGGCATGGTGGCTCAGGAAGCCGAGGCAGGAGGATTGTGAGTCCAAAGTCAACCTCAGCAAAAGTAAGGCACTAAGCAACTCAGTGAGACCTGTCTTTAAATAAAATACAAAAAAGGGCTGGGGATGTGGCTCAGTGACTGAGTGCCCCTGAGTTCAATCCCCAGAACCAAATAAATAAATAAATAAATAAATAGAAAGAAAGAAGGAAAAAAACCACTTTGTAAACCATTAAGCATCTTATATATTCATTCTTCCAACAAATATTTATTGAGTGGCTTCTTCCTGCTGAGCACTGTTCTTCCCACTGCAGTCATAATAAAGAACAAAAAAGATACATCATGGTTGACACATTTATGGTTGTTGGGTTTTGCTCTAATGAGATAGGAAGCTTTTAAAGGGTTCTGAACACATGAATAACACGGTTTCACTTGGGTTTTAAGAGGATTATCTGGCTGTGAGAAGAGAATAAAATCCAGTCAGGAAGCCAATGCAATAATCCAGCCAGGAGGTGATGAGTGGCTAGGTGGAGATTATAGCAGCGGAGACATTGAAAGCAGCTTGATTCTCTATATATTTTGGATATAAACCCATTAGAATTTGTTGGTGGATTGGATGTGAGTTTGGGATGAAAATAAGAAGAGATAACAATGACATCCAAGTTTTTGGCTTGAGTAGCTGAAAACAATCGAGTTGCCATCAATTGCTGGGATGAAGACCATTGAGGAACAAGTGAAATGAGTATCAGAAGTTCATTTTGAGGTATATTAAGTTTGAGATATCTATTGCACATACAAATGGAATTCCTGAGTTGCTGATTGGATGTATGAGTCTGGAGTTCAATAATATTTGCCTTCCAGGATCAGTCTGGAGTTAACAATGAGGGAATCCTCAGCACGTATGATGGTATTTGAAGACTTTGGACTAGAGAGGATTCCCAGAAAATGCTGCACCAGCCAGGCTGGCTGAAGAGCAGCCTGTAAAAGAGCAGAAGCAAGAGTGTTCATTACTAAAGAGAAACAAGAGGGGTATGTGGAGAATCACAAGGCTTCGAGAGGAAAAGGGCTGTTTCAAAATTGGGTAGTTCACTTACTGTGTGAACTTGAGCAAACTTCTTCTCTAAGCCTTGGTTTCTTTCCTGTAAATCCAGTGTGATCATTCCCACCTTGGGGAAGCCTTCTGGTGATAAATGACTCACGAAAAACATCAGGAACAGTTTAGGCTCTGCAAAGGGATCTCTGTATACCAGACACTCAATATTTGAATTAAAAATACAGTTTCGAGGCTAGCAGGCTGGTTTCAAACGCCCTGACACAGGCTACGGTTTCTATCAACTATTCAGGTCAATCCTCTACCGCAAAGGGAGGCAACCATAGGTCTTGTGGTCCTGGGGTCGCCGCATGCCTTCCGAGAAGTGGGAGAGTTTAACAAAGCAAACACTGGAAGAAACCAACAAAACGGTCGGGTGGGTCCGGGACCATAGAGGGTCGCTCCGCCACATTCCTAGAGCGGCCGCGCGGCGCCAGCAAAGGGCCCGTACTTCCGGCGGCGGGAGAGGCGCGGGGCGAGCGAGGGCGGCGGCCGGCGCGGCGCGGTGAGTGGGCTGAGGGCGCGGGGAGCCGCGGCGGGTGCTTAGGAACCCTTGGGCGCTGGCTGGCTGCCGCAAGGGAGGCGCCGGCCTGGCTAGCGGCGTGGCGGGCGCCTCGGGCCTCCCGGCCGGGCCTGCCCCCAGGCACCGCAGGGAGGCCGTGCGTGTCCCGTGCTGACCACGGCCAATGGGGCGGGTCCGTGCGGAGCGGCCCAGGGATGCCTCGGGAGAGGAGAGAATTTAACCGGGATACCCAACCAAATGGGGCCAGAAAAGGACAGAAAAGAGTCTGAGAGCCTCGGGCCTTGCTTCTTCCGTTGCTCATGGCGAGATTAAAGATCAAATCTATTGAACAAAAACGTGAACAGCTCACGGTTGTTCTGAGCGATTTATAGTGACTCATTTTTAACTTCTTATTCCCTGAAGAAATGCCATTTTTCTTGTCATCCTCTCAGTTCTATGGATGAGGAAACTGAGGCTTATTCCTGCTAGTTTTGCAGGAGAGGAGCTCCTATGGATCAAATTCACCTGAGTACCCATACCTGCCCAAGAATGTGTGGTCTCAGTGCTGAACTTGGTTTTGAAAGAGGTGACAGATGCATCAGTACTGCCCCTAAGAACACAGGTTCTGGAGTCAGGCTACTAAGAATTGGGAACCATGCTGGTGTGTTAACTACCATTGTGCCTGCATTTTCTTAGCTCATAATGGAGATAATTGCATATAGCTGCTATGAGAACTAGAGACCTAGCCCAGAATTAAATAAGCTCAGTGGCTGGCACATAGGCTTCCTGTTAGTATGATGTTTTCAAAGGTAGGTATATTTGATAATCTCAAGAGTTTCTGACCAGATCTGACCTCTTTAATATCAAAGTAGACACGTGGTTTATTTTTTAAAGTACAATTATCATTGTAGCTGTTTTTTGAATGCTATGCACCTAATACAGTGTATCTTAGATGGTCTGTAAATGTTTTGAGAAAGTTAAGAAATGGGTAGTGCTCGCTCTAATTTTGTTTTCTACAATTTGCACTTTCTGATACCATAATTATAGCATATATAATTATTGAAAATCCCCACCCACAAAAGTCCCGGACACTATTAGGCCTGGAGTCTCTATATGCTAAAATGAAAAAAGGCAAAAAAGAAAAAAATGTTATTTGTGTTTTCATTTACTTGGTTTATATGCTTTTATGTAGAGAAACTCAGGATAGTTACTCCTGTTTTAAAGTCTACTTCCTGACAAGATTCAGAAAATAATTTCCATAATTTTATTATTTTTGTAGTCCTTGCTTCACCCACATCTCACCTATTTGGAATTTGTGGAGTTTTCTCTGTTGTTTTGATTATTTTAAACAACGCTGAGGCAACTCTATAAGTAAATAAAAGTATTTACTTGAAAATTTTAATTTTGTAGCATTTGGCTATTTTTAAAATGCCATCCTATTTTTACATGAAGATTATTTTCTTCCCTTTCTCCTTTTCACATATTCTACCTACCATGCTTTTTCTACTCAGTTTTAAACTTTCTGCTACCTTATAAACTTTCTGTTGAAGTTTCTCTTAGAAACTTTGAATTCTTGGATTATTCAATCTAAAAAAAAGTTATAATAAAACATCTATTATTTGAGATTTTACTCTTCTAGTATTTAAGATAAGACTCCTTTAGAACTCCTTACAGAGTAGCTTTTACTTTCAAAACAGTATGCTACATAGACCTGGGTTGTTACCTGTAGATGTAAAAGTGGAATCGCCAAATAAATAAGAATAGAGAGGAATATATCATAAAGTAGTATGATTTGTCATTTCCTTCAGATTTGGATGCTTTAGATAATCACTATTAAATAAAAAGTTTAATAAGAGAGTACATATTAAAACATAATGGGATGTTGGGGATGTAGCTCAGTTAGTATAGTGCCTGCCTTGCATATACAAGGCCTTGGGTTCAATCCCCAGCTCGGCCAAAAAACAAAACAAAACAAAAAGACCCATAAAGAGATTCTATTACACAAATGTTGATTGTCTTTTGAAGTTATTTCTCCCCATTAACTGCTTATCTTCTCTCCATATTTTAGTCCATCAAAATAGTGTACTCATTTAATAGTACCTAAAAAAATTATATTTTCCCTTATCACATTATCCTCTAGAATTATTATGCAAATATTTTTCCCTTCAGAATTATTTTTTCATTTGTATTGAATATGTTTTTAATTTAAAAATGAATGTAATTTCAATGGATTGTAAAGGCATTAAAGTTGAATAACAGATCATTAGTAATTTGTTTTTATTTTTCATTCTACCCACAGAAAACTGAGCTTTGTAGCGCTAGGAAATGAAACCTTAGTTCAGAAGAAGACAGTAGACTCTCTAACGAATACACTTGGCTATTCACCATGAGGTTAGGAAAACCTAAAGGGGGTATTTCTCGAACCTCAAACCAAGGAAAAGCCTATGAAAACAAGCGTAAAACGGTTCGGCAGCGGCAGAAATGGGGAATGACTGTTCGTTTTGATTCAGGCTTGAGTAGACTGAGAAGAAGCTTGGATGAAAAACCCTATAAATGCACAGAATGTGAGAAGTGTTTCAGTCAGAGTTCAACTCTTTTTCAACATCAGAAGATCCATACTGGAAAGAAATCCCATAAATGTGCTGATTGTGGGAAAAGTTTCTTTCAAAGTTCTAATCTCATTCAGCATCGACGGATCCATACTGGGGAAAAGCCCTATAAATGTGATGAGTGTGGAGAAAGGTTTAAGCAAAGTTCAAACCTCATTCAGCACCAGAGAATTCATACTGGAGAAAAACCCTATCAGTGTGATGAATGTGGCAGATGTTTCAGCCAGAGTTCCCACCTTATTCAGCATCAGAGAACCCATACCGGGGAGAAACCCTACCAGTGCAGTGAATGTGGCAAGTGCTTCAGCCAGAGCTCTCATCTGAGGCAGCACATGAAGGTGCACAAAGAAGAGAAGCCACATAAAGCCCGGGGTAAAAACATCAGGGCAAAAACTCACTTAGTATCCTCTTGGAAAGCTGGTACAGGAAGGAAATCAGTGGCTGGTCTCCGCCAAGTTAAGGGCAGTGCTTCAGCCCTCTTTAAAAAAAAGTAAAGTGTAAAGACATAGGCTATCTCTTAGAATTTGGGATACTATAGTAGAGCACTTAGATACTGGATTCTTCTTTAGCATGGAGACATTGAAAGTTTAATGACATTATAGGGCTGAAATAAAGACCAGTTGACCTTATTTTTATGTAACATGGAGCACAAAAAATGAAAATATAAGATCCTTGGTCTCACTTGAAATTGCTTCCTGCATTGTTTTGACAAAGAGCATCATGTTTTCATGACATTTGTGAAAGTGCAGGCATGCCAATGATTACTCAGTTTTAAGACTTCTGTGGAAGGAATGAAAAGAAAGGGAGAAGGAATTAGTTTCATTAGCTTTGAAGTTATCTGACATTAGGAGAGTTTATGTTTGTAAAAGTTTGTAGTATATTAACCATTAGTTTATAAGTGTGACTCGACTAAATAAAATGTATTCAAGTTCACAGACTTTTTAACCAACAAGGCCCATCTATGTTAGTTTTGTTTTTATTCTCTTCTACTTAAGTCCCTGTTTTTCACCATATTCTAAGGAATCCAAAGTGAGAACTGAATTAAACCACAAGTCTCCTATTTCTACTAATACTGTTCTTTGTGTTGGTATTACTGCTGTATTGCTGGTTTTCTTGAAGTTGGGATGGATTTATATTGATTGATGTCCATGGCCTCTTTTGGTACATGTTTGACAAACTAAGCCAGCCTTCTAGACTACATGAATAAACATCATATTCTATCAACAAAATTTCAGCTTCTGGCAAAAAAAAAAAAAAAAAAATCAAAACAGGAATTTATAGGCCTTCCTGCCAGCAAGACTTATGAGCTTTTAATTATCCTGGTTTTCTTAGACAAATATTTGTTGACAGCAAAATTCATTTAATGTGTAAGTACACTGGAGCTCCTTTAAAATTTTGACTTTTTATACTATAGGAATTATTTAATAAGGTTAACAATGTTTCTTAATGTCCATCAGAAAGGTGCCAGGTGTTACACGTCTCTGATCAGCCTTTAGCTCAGGTTTTATTTCTATTAAACTCTTAACATTCTTCTGATTTTTTTGGTATCTTTTATAATCCTATCAGTTCCTGCTGTATTAATGACCAATTATCCACAAAAATAAAGAATGAAATATTTTGCATAATACTACCTTCTGTTTTTCTTTTGGGATATTGTTTTAATGATTTAGATCTAAAAATCACAACTTAGACGAATCATTTGTTATATCAGTTTTGATTTCCTCAAACCTGAACTTTGCCTCCATCCTGGCTTTGCACTGGGTTCAGGGCCATAGATTTCAGCCTTGTTGACAACACTTTCATCCAAAAGGATATCCAGAAAATATTTTCTAAGTATTAGGCGATTATAGTTATCTTTTACAAAACACTTGATCTTTTACTACCTGTTATTTATAGCAAAGTCACTTTGTAGCAGTGCATGATTGTAGGGCCCTTTTAAGGATCTACTGTCAAGTTATTCATTTTGTATCTGGAACAGCTTCTGACTAGAACCAACCCCACTTTTTAAGTTTGTCCATTTTGAGAGCAACCACAGGGTCTTGCAAAAGACAAAACCTCTGTATTGCTGGAATTTATAGTTTACATTTTATTTTTGATAGATTTGTATTCTCTATAAAAGTAAAGCAAGTGCTCTTCAGATTTTAGTGTAATCCCAGTTTGACTTAGTTTGCATTTCTTAGAGCCCCAGAGCTGAGAACAAATAGATAAGTAGCATGGTAGCTTTCTGTGGTAGTTAGTGGACATTGAATAATGTACATCTGGTAGGTAGTGCATCAGAGTACAGTCTCATTGATGAAAATATGCTAGCTGCTCCTCCTCTCCCAATTCTGAATTTCCAGCATTATTCAGGTGCTTACCAAACATTAAATCCTTTTATTCTTTGGCAGACCATCCCCACTCTTTCTCCCTGAGGTACTGTGGATTGAACCCAAGGACTTTGCAAGTGTTCTGCCACTGAGCTATATCCCCAGAGGACTCATTTTTAAATACAGAATTTGTTTGTTATATTTTAAATCTTGTATTTGGGGAAAACAAACCTCCAAGGTTATTTTTCTTAAGTATTGCTGAAATTTCTTCTGCCCTAACCAGTGAGCCAAATGTGTTGTTAAAAGTTACCTGATTGGGGCTGGGGTGGTGGCTCAGTGGTAGAACCCTTGCCTAGAATGTGTGAGGCACTGGGTTCTATTCTCAGCACCACATATAAATAAAATAGAGGTCCATTGAAAACTAAAAAATATTTTTTAAAAAGTCACCTGATTTCCATGCTCTTATTTATTCATTCAATCATTTAATATATGTGGCAGAAATAAAATATTAAATAAGAGAGCTTCAAGGAACTTAGGTTAAGTAGTAAAGCAAGCACAAGGGGCTGTGGGAGCACGTAGGGACATCTACTTCAGTGATTCTCAATTTCAACATGCATCACAATCACCTGGAGAGCTTGTTAAACCAGATTGGTGGATCTATCCCCAGAGTTGCTTATTTAGTAGGTCTGGGCCTTAGCCAATTTGCATTTCTAGTAAGAGCTGCTGATTTGCTCCTTGAGCACACATTTTGAGGACCACTGCAGTAACTCATTACTTTTGCTTGTATAAAATGGTGTCCAAGTCATACATAATACTATCTAGATGAGAATTTAACAGTGAATTTATTTGGAGTCAGTTATAGGTTTGTATCTTAGCTGTTAATTGGACAATTTGAATTTTTGCTCTGAACTATAAATTGGAGAAGATACCAATGATTGAGTTGTATGAATAAGGAACTCAGCATAGAATCTGAGAATGTTTAAAATTTTTTAGTTGTTTACTTTTTAGATCACCAGAAGCAGAGAAGCTATTGAATCAAATCTGAAATAGTCAATGGCAAAAGTTTTTGCTTCCATAAATTTAAAGGTGAGTTCTATTTTATTTTGGCTGAGACAAGACTGTTGGAGAGAAGAGTAACTCATAAAGGCAAGAATCATTTAAGATTTTAAAGGAAAATAAAAGGTATGACGCCTTGGGAATAACCTCTTCAATATGGAAGGACATAGCCACTAACATAGTATTCATTCCCCATATTAGGGAAAGGTATGCAAAAATTCTGCATGATAGTTTATGTAGTGACTCTGCTTAGGGCCAGATGGCGGTGCAGGGAGAGAGGTAGATCATGGAATGGAAGCTGCTTAGCACAGTAGAATCTACCCAGGCAACAGTTCTTTTGACAATCTAGTTTTATACAGGAGTTGTCAGAGATAAGGCTGGAAGGATCCTCCAGGAGAATCTTAAATATACTTAAGAGTGAAATATCTTTGCTGGAGAGGTGGTACACTGTTATAATCTCAGTAACTCATGAGGCTGAGGCTGGAGGATTACAAATTCAAGGCCAGCTTTAGCAACTTTGCAAGGTCCTAAGCACCTTAGTGTGCTTAAAATAAAAAAAAATAAAAATAAAAAAAATTTAAAAGGGCTAAGGGTGTAGCTAGTGGGTTAATTCTTAGTAAACAAAAGCAAAACAATACAGAAAAAAAAAACATTTTGACAAGATGGGATGCACAAAAAATTTTGGAGCGTGGCTTAGAAGGTGATGATCTAATGGGAAATAACCATACTTCTAGGAGAAAGACTTCCCCAGCAGAGACCTTGCTAGAGAATTGGAACTACAAGGGCTTCACCTGCTCCCTTGGGCTCAAAGTCTTATCTTCTTTCATGACCTGCCTCAAATTAAATGGCAGCAACTCTAAACAATTGCATCTTTGCTTATTCAGCTTTGATTAACACCTGTTCTGAGAGCCTTCTAGGAAGTCAGCCTTCATATCTTAGATACATTTCATCCAAATTGAAATGTACTGATACATGTTTTGATTTCTCTCAATTTCCCTTTTTCCTATTAGACTGAACTCCCTGCTTATAGGTCATTCAATTTAAAGTTTCTGTGAAGAAAAACCAAGAAGTACAAAAAGAAGGGTGAAGAAAGAGGTAAGAAGTTAATTTGGGAAAGTTCCCAGCCTGACCACTGGCTATTACAGTCCTATCTAGAACCTAAACACCTAGCCCTTTTGCTTCAGTATTCTATTCTGTGAGAGCTCCTAGTTCATTGCATTATTCATTATTTAGCCTTGCAAATGTTACCCACTTATATTTGCTGAGTGAATTAATGAATAAATGAAGAAATGAATAAAATGACATCAATGATCCTCATAGTCTTAAGGGATCCAGAAAACCATTTACCTTATCCTCTTCAAAACTTGATGTCTATTTTTAAATTATCTGGATTCCTAATTTATGTCCTTGGAATCATATACACATATACATATAGACTCTAACATAGTTATGGAAAACTAATATCACTTACTTTTAAAGTAAGAACACTTCTCTTCTTCCTTTAAAAGCAGATATGAAGCATAAGAGAGACTTTGCAGACTTTAACATAACACACATACTTTTTAAATATTGATTTGGTAACCAAGCAGTTCCAGATGCTGTAAAACTGGGAAGCCATTGTAAGTTTTGGAAGTATTTTAAGTTGATAATTTGGAGAGAGAATTTCTCAATGGTTCGAAAGATAGACACTTTGGTCAAGGATACTTATTTGCGTCAGGGGGGTCAAGAGATCTCTTAAAATAAACCAAGAGGAAGAAATGTTTGCAATAGGGCTTGGAGAGGAAGAGCAGAAGTAAGGGATACATAGGGTGACAGAATGAACAGACCTGGAGATGTGTAAGATTCAAGGTGCAAACAAGAAGAAACACGATGATGGAGATTTCCAGTGAGGTGACCGGAAGAGTCATGTTTGGAGGAGAAGATGAAACATTTGTTTTAGAAATTGTTTACCTTGAGACACTTGTGGAACTATCTGATTGGAAAAGAGTAATAGATATTGGAATATGTGTGTCTTAATTGTGGAAGATGCTGAGGAAAGAAATTAATATTTGGACCATTATATGCTAGGTGCTTTAACTTCATTGGATGATTTGATGGTTTGATTGCGTTGCCATCAATCAACACATACACACACACACACACACACGCATGCACACACACAGACTGGGTGGCTTAAACAATAGAAATTTGTTTTCTTACAATTCTGGAGGCCAGAAACCCAACCAGCAGGGTTGGTTTCTGATGAGGTCTTGTTTCCTGATTTGCAGGAGGCCACCCTCTAACTTTGCCTTCAAATGGCCTTTTCTCTGCATGCATGGAGAAGGAAAACAATTGTGTATTTCTGTTATAAGGACACCAGTCCTATAGGATCAAGGCTTCACCTTTATGACCTCACTTAACCTTAGTTCTCATCTTGAAAACTTTCTCCAAATACAGGTTAGGGTTTGAACATATGAACAGGGTGGGGGACACAATATAGTTCATAACATATTATTCTGGATCTTTTTTATATATGAAAAGAGATCAAGTGACTTACTGAAGGTCAAACAGGACCAAATATCAGTGGCTTTTGGATGCTTTTTAAAAAAATCTTATTACCCCATATTATACTATGTGAGATAAATCTGCCTTTGTAACTGTCAAAAATGAAAATAACCTTGACCTCTCTAACCTCAAAAGTAAAAGGCAAGAATTAGATATGATAGCAATAAGGGTTAGATTTATACACAGCCTAAAGCTCTCCTGGTTCCTGGCTTAAATAGCCATCCACAAGTCTGGATTTATTTGTCCCTTAAAAACCAAAGGTATTGAGGGTGCAGCTGTGCATGCTTGTAATCCTGGTGGTTTGGACGGCTAAGGCAGAAGGATTTCAAGTTCAAAGCTAGCCTCAGCAAAGGCAAAGTGCCAAGCATCTCAGTGAGACCCTGTTTCTAAATAAAATACAAAATAGGGCTAGGGATGTGGCTCAGTGGCTGAGTGCCCCTGAGTTCAATACCAAATATACCCCCCCAACCCACCACCAAAATCAAACCAAACAAAACAAAAAAACAAAGGGATCAAAAGCTAGGTGCTTTGTTTGGGATACAATAGGAAAGCATCAGACACTGAGAAGTTTATAAGTGACACAAACATTTCTCACAGTTCTCGAGGTTGGATGTCTAAGATCATAATCTGTTCTGGTGTGGTCCCTCTTCCTGGGTTCCAATATGTCTGCTTATTATCTCTTCACGTGACAGAGAGTGAGATAGCTTTATGGCCTTTTCTT